AAAGAGACAAGTAAAGAAACCAAAGTGGCAAGAAGATTATGAACTGGACTTGACAGATGAAAGTGATGAAGTTTTGTATGCATTGATGACAAGCAGTGAAAATGTACCAAGAAACTACAAAGACATAGAAGGAAGAGGAGATGAAAACCAATGGAGGAATGCAATAAAAGAAGAATTGAAGGTCATAGAAGATAGTAAGACATGGAAAGTTGTACCCAAACCTGAAAATAAGAAGTTGATAGACTGTAAATGGATATTTAACAAGAAAGAAGTAGGAAAACAAGAAATATGCAAAGCAAGACTAGTTGTACGTGGATTTAAACAGGAAAATAAAGCAGAAAAAATTTACTCACCGGTATTGAAATTGCAAACATTGAGGATTTTGTTATCGATTGCAGCTTACAAAGATTTTCATATAAGCCAGATGGACGTGAAGGGAGCATTCTTGTACGGAGATATCAAGGAAGAAGTTTATTTACAACCACCTGAAGGAATAGATGTGCCACCCAGATATGTTTTAAAATTGGAAAAATCACTGTATGGTTTGAAAAAATCACCGAAATATTGGTATGAGAAATTTCATGATACAATTACTAAATATGGTTTTATAAGATCACAGAATGATTATTGTTTATATTACAAGTCAGAGTTATATCTATTACTATATGTAGATGACATATTAATTTTAGGGAGAGACTCACATGAAATAGGAAGAGTTAAACAGTTCTTAAGTACTAAATTCAGAATGATAGATATTTCATGTAATAATTTAAATTACTTAGGTATTTCTATAAGCAAGTTACCGGGGAAGGTTTACATAAATCAGACTAGGTATTTAGAGAATGTTTTGTACATGTATGGTATGCAGGATTGTAAGGGTTGTGATACACCTATGGATGTGAATTTTGTATTAAATATTGAAAGTTGTGAAATTGATTTTGACTGGGAATACAAGTGTAGATCACTAATTGGTTCATTGCTGTATGCTATGATAGGATCAAGACCAGATATTGCCACTTCTGTATGTTATTTAAGCAGATTCCAATCTAAGCCTTGTGAAAAATTGTATAAAGCATTGAAGAGAATTTTAAGATACATAAAACAAACAGTTGACTATTCTTTGATCTATAGTGGAAATAATTGTAATTCTGATGAAGTTTTGATTGGTTATGCTGATGCAGATTTTGCTAGAGACATAGTTGATAGAAAATCCACTTCTGGATACTTATTTAAGTTGTTTGGTAATACTGTAATTTGGAGATCAAAGAAACAGGCAACAGTTGCATTGAGTACGGCGGAAGCCGAGTTGATTTCACTTTGTGAAGCATCAAAGGATGCATGTTGGTTAATTAAATTGTTAAAGGAAGTAAACATTAAAGTTGAGAGTGTTCTTATGTATGAAGATAATTCAAGTACTATTAAGACAGTTAAGAATCCCGATCAGAAAAGGCTAAAGCACATCGATATTAAATATAATTTTATAAAAGAAAAGGTAGAAGAAGGTTTAATAAAAGTAAAATATATTTGTACAAAAGAACAGATTGCTGATGTGTTAACTAAACCAATTAATAAGATAAAATTGCTTAATTGTGTAAAATGGATGGGAGTGTATCCTAGAGATGGAACATTGAGGGAGAGTGATGAGTAAAGACAATGCTCCACCTCTGGAAGTCATATTAGAATAAAAAAAAAAACCGTGTATTGTCTATGGTGTTCTGCGTTATAAAATCTCTCTCTGTAAAAATGGCTGTTACGTGTAAGAATTATGTGAAGTATTAAAACAATAGATTAAAAGAAGATATCTTGTTTATTTGCCGCCACCTTGATCCAGGGAACTCTAACAATTAAGTCATTGTACCTACAATGAATTGTTGTTTGTGCAAAAAGAATTATAAAAATTAATAAATAAAATATTAAAATAAAACATTATTCATGAAAATCAGTCTTTTGTTGTAGGAATAATAAAATCATTGAACATCAATCAAAAATCTTTGACTCATGATAAGAGTTAAAATTGGTAAGACGCTTCTGTTTTTATTTTGCACATATAAACAAAAGAGAGCGACGGGAAAAATAAACTTTTCTATAATTAAAGGCAATATTAGTTATTTCATTAGGCTCTCATGTAAACTATAAGATATGATTGCCTAGTATTGTCTTAGATCTGTGTAGAAGGTATGTTGTAACATCAATTTAATGCCTCTTGGAATTGGTCCCACTCTTTTTTTTGTTAGAGGGGGCAGACGAGCAGACTGGTCACCTGATGGAAAGTGACTATCGCCACCCATGAACGTCTGCAACTCAGGAGTCACAAACGCGTTGCCAGCCTTTTAGGAAGGAGTGCGCTCTTTTGGTATGACTTCGGTAAATGCTTTAACTCTAGTTTTTGTAATTTCGTCAACATGGGATGAATTTTATGACATCCACGATTGTCTTTAATCAAAGAAATGTTTGTAATATTATTCTTTTTTTGGGCGGTTTCTATAGGTCTATTAGTGATGTCCAAAGTGTTTTTGAAAAGGGTTTCACAAACTCTGATCTTAACCCCAGATACTGTAAAAAAAGTAGGCATTATTGTTTTTGCGTTTTCGTGCTATTGTTCATCAGAATGAATCCTGACACATCACTGAACTGGTTTCACCTCTTCTAAGGACTAATTTCACCCAAATCCCAGTACTCTTTCAAAAGTTGTTTTAGTTGAATTTCCGTTATATTTACGTAGCATTTAAATATACAGGTTTCTTTACAGGAGGGTTTAGGTCCTTGTTCTGAAACAGCCCATACAGTTTTTGCTGATTTATAAGGTTCCCACTATTTCTCAATTTCTTTGCAATATTCTTCTTCCACTTTTTTTTTGCCTTCAAACTCAAACTCACAAAATCTTTATTTCATAAAAAATATTTGAGATCGTCTCTTGTTTAGACTCTAAAGTCATAGATCAGCACACACAATAGCAAAAATCTCTGTTTTGTCAAATATTTAGCAAACTAAATATATACGTATTGAAAATCTCTTTTGTGCCTGTGCCGATCTACAACCGCCAATTTAAAAGGGCCTCTCTCTTGGCTTCATTTTCCCTTTTTTAATAGGAGTTTTGACAATATTAGGAGAATTTTCCGATTTGTGGCGCTAGGTTTATTTGGAGGCCATTGATTTTCGGTACTCATAGTATCAGGTGCATCGATTGGATTTTCATTAGAATTAAAAATTACTGAGTCTATGCCTAACCTTCCTCCTTACTTGCATTATCGCTTACACCATTGAACGAAAACACTGGTCAGCGCTTTGCTTGAATCTCTTAATAGTCGGGATCTTTTATGGAGTCATCGCATCATCATCAGAGAAAGATGAAGAACTTGAAGAGCTGCTAGACGAGGTACTTAGAGAAGATGAATTCGTTGATACACTACGAAGGAGATGAATTTGTTTCATTTGTTGGTCGTCAAATATTTCATCCTCGTTACCAGTATTTGAACCCGGGTTGCTATGAGCAATTAGTTTACTACTTAGCAAATCCTCGTTCATTTTTTGTTTGAGCTAATTGCAATATTCGTTTAGACCTTGTCCCAAACTGATAGATAACTGGAGTTTTATATTGTAGTTTAGTTTAAACAACGTGGCAAGTGGACTTAGCATTAAATTTTATCAATATGTATTCTGCAACAACAGAACATCAACAAATGACCCACAACATATTTCCAGTACAAAAGAAACATGTATCTTCTACAACGTTACAATTCAAAATGATACCACGGATTGTGATACCATGGATTTCTTACAAGAAAAACGTGACATCAAAAAACATATCTCGTTCACGTCCCTTGATACGTTTTACTAGAATACTATGATAGGTATAACGTGCCATATTGTCGAATAAAAGAGAATTATTACAAGAGGCTAAATCATAGTAACCTCGTGATGTCACGTATTTCATCACAACCGAGAGCACTTCACACGTTGAAGCACAGGTGACAACTGAATTGCCACTGTGTCGCAGTCAACTAGATCACCAAACGTGACAGCGCCGCACTGAGATATTGTGTCTCTTTCTCCCATTTTATATGTTATTTTTGTAGCAAAAAATATCCCGTTTTTGGAGATAATAGATCTCGAGATGGCGATTCAGAATATCAATAAAACGAAAAATCGTATAATTCGAGATGTCAAACTGTCGATATATCTAAATATTATAGTTTAGGTGTAATACCCATTTTTTTGTTGAAATAAGTCAACTCGAATATGAATGAAAGCTAAAAGTGATTCTATCAGTATCATGATATTAATCTTTAAGTTTTTCAAATCAGTTTTCGTTTTGAAGTTATGAAAAGTAATACCATAGTAAAAATTGTCGTTATATTACAAACCGCTACGGAACAATGCATGTACGAGTATCTTTACATTTTATACCGCCCTTATACGCTTAGATCTTTCAAACTACGATACGAATTTTAATTCAATTTTCTCGAATAGATAGTGATTCAAGAGGAAGGTTTTTATGTGTAATACATGCATATTTTAGTAGAGAAGTCGTCTAAATAGAAAGTTTTACCGAAGTACGCTCTTATCTTGAAGGCTTGGAAGTTGTATCCGTCCGGAAATACCGCAATAATAATTTGCTAAACAGTGGTGGAGGTCCAAGTATCCATGTGATGGGATTGAAAGTTTTGCCAAGAGTGAAAGAAACCGCTTTCTTTTTTGTTCGGATTTGAAATTGTTCGGATTTCAACAGCACCTTTCCGCAAAGGTGCTGTTGAAATCCGAACAATTTATGAATTATTTATCATTATCTATGATACCATGTCTTTGTCAGTCATATGTCAAATTTCAATCTTGTTTGAGATACAATTCGCGTAGCACGAAGTTTAATTTGATGTTCAAAAATGAAATTTTCACATGTAATAGTTTCCGGTATTTTCCCAATTCTTTCTTTTATTTTTGTTTTGGGTTTTCTCCTTGGATGTATGAATATATATTTCAGTGATAGAAATAATTATTGCATAATGACATACATGTACGAAAAGCCTCAGTTCGTGGTAAGTTATTAAATTTTCTTTAGTGCATTCTTCTTTTTAACACAGTGAATTTGGAATGTGGTTAATTTTCAATATTTTCAGCGTTTGTCCTTGCCTGAGAACAAGTTTTATCCCCAGTATGGATTATATGTGTACGGTGAAGGAATATTTGCTGAAAAGTTAAGAAGAATGTGGTAAGTGTTATAGAAATTCAAATATAGTATAAGTGATAATTGTCTCTAAACTAAGTTTAAAGACTAAGCTAATAATAGTGATAACTTTTCTTACTAAGTTATCATCAAAGTATGAAATAGTAATGGGAACTTTTTTAATGATGTTTGTACATGTAGTTAATGGTGGGATGACATCAAGGGGAGTCCAAACATTTCTCAGATTCTGTAGTTTTCATTTATCTGCACCTACAGATATAACATTATCAGTAAAAATATTATGTCATGCCAGAGCTTTGTTCTGCATCAGGTCTCTTGTAAAGTATTTTTAAATTAGGTTGATATGATAGACAAAACCAAGGTCAGAGTCATTAAGGTCTAAAAATGATATCTCTATCATATTCTTTGCAGATTTTAATTTTTTGCCACAAATTCTTAATAACCTTATATTATTATACTTGTTTTTAAAACCCTACATAGCTCATCACCTGAAATGCACCTGGCTGGTTTTTAGATTATATATATAATCACCCCATACATATTTTAATTGATTGAGGAACAATTTTTTCTTTGGTACAGATGTTTCATTAGTAGTTGTACTTAAATTTGTATAGCTTAGATTAATCAGTATAATGTATTAAACAGGTTTGACGGTGTACCAGTTTTATTTTTGCCAGGGACTTCAGGCAGTCACATGCAAGCTAGATCGTTTGCATCATTCGCTCTAAGAAAATCTCTTTCTAAAGGCAATCACTTCCATTTCGACTTCTTCACAAGTAAGCTTGCTAATTCCTTCACTATAAATAATTCCAAATACTGAAATGACATTAACTGTGTGAGACAAATCTGTCTAGTGTTAAGTTAATCTTAGTAACAAGAACCTTCTTTCTTACTTATAACACTTAGATCAGTGATAGTTAATAAGATGATCATTTAAAGCCATTCAGACTTACACAGATTTATAAAAACAAAAACATATCTATAATTGAAAACAATCAGTGACTGTATAATGAAATATAATTTAGAAATCATCTAGTTGTCGTAACTGGCATTGGAATTTTTGAATTTGGGTGTTTGTATAAAACGTTTTTACACTCAAACTTAACTTACTTAACTTAGACTTAACAATTTGAAAATGAATGATATTATATTATGTTAAGATGTAAAAATGCTAGAGCTGTCAAGAAGGTTTTAAACAGCTTTATAATGTACAATGTTAGCAAAAGGAAAAAGGAAATTTTCCTCTTGTTACTCTCATCTTTTAACCATCTTTAGGTATGCAGAGTTGCATAATTTTGCTATACAAATTGCGAATATCCACAAATGAGAATATTTGAATACTATTGCTATTACACACTACAAAACTGTGTGTTCCAGTGTTACACTATTGGGTTATAAATCTTATCTTTCAAAAGGTCTTCTTTCTTCTGATAGTTGTTTATGTTTTGTTTTAGTAAGTTACAATGAAGAGTTGTCTGGTCTTTATGGTGGGGTATTGCAAAGTCAGACAAAATTCGCCGCAGTTAGTATTCAAAAGATTTTAAGTCTATATAAACAAAATAAATATAGAAAGGATGTACCTACTTCCGTTATACTAATTGGACATTCAATGGTATGTTACAATTATTTTAAAATGTTAAAGGCAGTTTAAAAACATTTTTATTGTAAAATATTTTGATATGCAAATATTCAATTTAATTTCAATCATTAGATTAATAGGCCCTGATAGCTCCTAAATTAATGATTGACCGATGATTGCATGGATAGCGTTGTAGTTTTAAGTAGTCACCTGCCGCTTCCTACTGCGCTGAGTGTTGTGTCACATGGGTCACCACACTTTGTGTGAATCACTAATTTTTGTTCTGAGTCTGGGTGTTCTTTGTGTACGTTTGAATGACTGTTTGTAAAGTCCCCCCGCGACACAGGATATTTTCCTAGTGTGGAAGTTGTCAAAAAGAAAGAGAACTGAGAGATCAATTTTAATTTAGGTTTTTTCCTTTAAAGATAACTATATCGAGTCTTAGGTGTAATTTAAAAAAATCCGAAATTCAATAATTATCAATCAGGTCCTTTCTAATTTTTTAAGATATTTTGATTTATGTTTTTGTGATTTGATTATGTTTACTTTATAATTGTTAAAAAAAATGCATAGCCTCAGTACGCCTCATATGTAAGCAGTAACTTAAAATACTACCACCCCCATCTCCTTGTCAACACTACCATCAGTATCACTTCAGAGTTGCAGATGGATGATTCCGTAGTATCAAATAACTAAAAGACAATGTATTCGGTTTTGACTCACGTCATAGGGAAAAGGGAATGTCATCTATTTAGCAGGATTTAACGAGAGGTTATGTATGACATGGATTCATCTGGATCATCCATAGCATCCATGCGCTTTTCTTTAAAGGTTAAAGGCTGAAACTTCTGTGCGTAATAACGGGTATTTGTAATGGATTATGATGCAATACTATATCACAAAATTATTTATTGATGCAGGGAGGACTAATAGTAAAACGACTTTTAGCCTATCCGAGTACAGTCAACACTACTTCCATAGCAATAACTTTGGCTGCACCTTTAGTTGCTCCCGTAGTTAATGTAGATGCAGAAATGAATGACTTTTATGGGCTCATGAACTATGAATGGAATAAATATGTTAACAACAATATTGAAACCAAAAAGAATAAAATCATGATTAGCTTGGGAAATGGACCTCGCGATTTGCTAATGCCGTCGGGATTGACATCGTCAAATGATTCTTATATAAATGCACTTGTAAGTACTTAATCTAAATGTATCAACAACTAGCATACATAAATAAATTTATGATCACGATTTAAATTAGTTTAATGAATCTCTTGTTATGAAAATATAATTCACTTAAAGCGCAAAAATTGAATGATGATAATTTCAGATTTCACCGTACCGTTACTTTCATGTGTACTGTTAAAACGTTAACGTGAACTGATAACTTAGTTGTTTAATATGTTACAAATAGAAACGATCTTAAATAAATCGCTTCTTTCCCATTTTTTATTTCTGTATGACCAAAGTCATTAATAATTTTATTATTCTTTCGTCAATTCATATCAAGTTATTATAAATTATTAAAGATTAAAATGAGAGAAAGCAATTAGATCGTTATTTTTAATTTTTATTCTGGTTCTTTGTAAAGTTTGATTTCTTTTTTAGACTACCGCCGTGCCAGGCGTCTGGGTATCACCAGATCATGTAAGCATAGTCTGGTGCAAACAGCTGGTCCGTATAATAAATAAATTTCTCTTTTCTATCATTGATCCAGTAACTGAACAGGTTGTACAAGACAATGAGATATTGATATCAAGAGCCAGACAATATTTTCAGGTAAGGATAATAAAATTGTACACATGCAGAATGTAGTAGACGTTAGTAGAAATAATTTCCAAATAAGAACTAACTATGAGTTTCGAAATAACGTAATTTTTAAAAGTAGTTAAAGAAGAAAGGTCCGGCGGCGGCCTACAGTTGGTGGAGTCAATATAGATGGCGCTGTGTGACCCGTCCCTCTCGCTGTTACTGCAACCTTTATTCTTATTCTCTCTTTTTTCTATGGGCAAAACTGGTTTAAAATAAGAATAAAATACTGTAAACAAATGTTGTCTAAAACTATAATCGTATTTATAATTTTCAGTTTGTCAGAATAGATATACATAAATTATGTCGTATATGTTATTTGCTCCCAATGTACCGTTACCTGGACAGTGATTGTAATATTAACTGTGTCGACTAAACGGACAACGTGAAAGTTCTATTTGGTGATTATACTATTATTACGAAATGTTTTTTTTTGTATATTCTGTGTTGGGTTAAGGACTAATTTTCTGCTACTCTTTTAGAAAAATAGAAAAAGTCATTATCACAGTACACATTTTGATTACTAACCCTAAAAATATAATTATTTACACGTCTAAAAATATTTTAATTGTTATTTTCATGCGTATTTTATATAAAATACTTAAACTGCGATGTAGGGCGGGGAAGAAAGATTAAATATGTGTATATCTATCCTGGTGTATTTGTGGAATGACCTACTAATAAATAATAATTTATAATTTTTAACACAATTTTTATGTAGATACACATGACATAGGGTTTGGGTTCTCTAGGTCATAATCTCAGACAAAGTAAAATGTATTTCACTTTTATTTTTTATGTTAAATCATGTCTACTTTATATTTATTTAAATTTCATTTAACAAAAACTACCTTATTTGGCTTCAATATTTCGCAGTAATTACATCAATCGCCGAACGTATGAGTACCGATTTGGTCTACCATTCGTCGTTAACCTCCATAGTAATCAAGCATAGCTTTTGAAAATATTTAAGCCCTTAAAATACTTTGCCGAAATTCGTTATGAGCTCTTGCCCAAACTCTAAGGTATAAAGCCAGTAATATGGTTTATCTTTTGTTGTATCGTAGTTATCTATGGCTATCTTTCAGGCTAATCGCTCAATGAAATTGAATCCAGATGTGGTACGTTCTGACATGACAATGATCGCTGACGCCTTTTGGTACGAGGATAACAGACGGATTTATCAAGTGTCACGGCGTCAGATTGATAAGTATGAAGCTTCTACCTTATTTAATTTTAAATAAAAATATTAGTCCGACTAAAATCAGGATCTTTCTTTGAAAGATGACACCGGTGATACAACAATTTTTTATTTATTTATTATACACCTTTAGTGTACACCACTACAGTATATATTTTGTACAGAGATGGATGGACATCTACATGTAGTATTACACTAAGCAATCTCTTACAGACAACCTTCACACGGATATTGTCAAGATTTTAGGTAGTCTGTGGTGTACTTTTATAATACTCTAAGTAATTAATAATACATAAACTTACTACATATGTTTACAGTATACATACTACTAACACACATATACCTAAACACAAACCCTATACAAACCCGTCTGGCCAGGGTGGCATAGTAGGCCAAAACCTCCTTTCTAAGGAGAGGCATATGTCCCGCAATGGACTGTTAAAGGCTGTTGATGTGATATATACATACAGATGTCCGTGAATACACAGATCGTTTATAACCTATGACGTATCAAGTATTAAAGTATTAACAAATATTAATGACCCTTCAACGGCCTTCACAATGTCAAGTAGTAGTAGCATTCAGTCACAAAAAGTAATACTAGTCACTAATATTTTATGAAGTGTTGGGCTACTGGCATACATCCAAAAATACAGGAAATGTATATTTTAGGAACTTATATTACCTACGCGATTGAGTATTTGCGTCTGTTTACATAATACTTTAAAGAAGATTAGGAATTCCAAAATACCGGTGTTAGAAGTCAATGACGGAATCGTGGATCGAAACGAGAATTTAGGAGCAGTGGAAATATTATCGCTCAGCAATACAGTTCTTGGTCCTAACCTTGATCGTCTAAGGATAAAAAAAGATCAACACGAAACTTCGATGTCAATATTATGGCAATGAGTACGATAAAGTATTAACGTCTTTACGACTAGTGTAACTGTCATTATAAGACGAACTGTAAATATGACCTCTGTAAAAATCGTGCACATTTGATCCCGATTTTAAAGGGAAAAAACGCAGTTCTAATTTTTTAATACCCGTTTTTTTACCTAGAATCCTAATTCGCACTGTTAATACCCGTCGAAAGAGTAAAATAGTCAAATTCATCGGGCGTTTGGTAAGCATCATATGACTAATGCGATTACAAACTAACAACAGTTCTTTTAAATTTATAGCATTAAAATGGTGAAAATTGAAACCAAGTATTAAACACAAAAAGTGATCTAAGTCAAGAAGTTAATGTTCAAATTCATTATATTTACCCTAAGTGTATATCAATTAATTTGTCTACAGGACTACGTATGTAATGATACGACTTGTCAAGTACCCGCAAAATAGATTTGTAGCCGTTGAGGGGGTTAATATTGAAAATGAGGAATGGATATTCGGATGCAACGCTCAGTTTACATATAATACCCATAGATATTGGTGAGAATGAACGATAACTATTAATATTCGTTTTTTTAATTTCTGCTGTAATTTTATATATTACTAAAACCGATTTTTAGCCTTTTTATATATTATATGCTAAGATAAGTGCCAGAACATAAGTGTTAGGTAATATATCTTCTATTCCTTTTGATGTTCTTAGATTTAATTTAACAAATCAATTATATATATTATTCTGTAACTTTAGCAAGCAAGCAACTTCCTTGTCCGAGTTAAGTCGTTGGACTGGTGCAGCTAATAGCTCTGCCAAAAGGAAGTTGGCCACAGTAAATCTTCATAGCATCAAAGAGCACTACCCTGACTGGAGTCACGTTATCGTCAAAGTATCGCCGACGAAAAAGCCGGTAAGAAAAAAAGTCAAGCCACGAATCAGTTTCCAAGCTTTCGTACGAAACGATTTTTTTTTTGGGACGCGATTGTTCAAGGGGCAGGGCTTGATCGATGCGTCACTATTTTTAACACGATTGGACTATAATATTATGTATTCAGCCAGACTCAAGACTCACTCAATAATTTCTAGGTAATATTAAACGTCGATATAAACGACCACGCCTCGAGAGAAATGTATGTACGTGTACCATCATGGATGTCTTTTGGGAAGACTATAATAAAGGAAGAAACCGAATCAGAGAGTTTGTATTATGAACTGATATTGAGAGATTTTAATACATTGCATCAGGCGTACCTATTGTATGTGGAACCTACGGCAAGCTGTAAGGCCACTCAATATCATGTTTCAGCCGAAATGTTTGTGCCTTGGGCGCCAAATTATGAATATTATCATTATTTTACGTAAGTATCACCATGTATTTCTGTAATGTTGCTATATAACACCGATAAAAACAAAAGATTATTATTGAGATATAAGTGTAACGGTTATATCGTCAATTCGAAATAGCAATGTCATAGTTCTATTCGTATTAATTTAAAAAAAAAAAATCGCAATACCTTATTTTTCTGTAAATGTATATTTTGAGTAATCTTGAATGCTTTTACAGGCAACTGAAGCAAAAACCTATGAAATTAAGACTATTTAAAAGCAATCCAAATATTGTTTATGGAATGGAAACTACAGAGCATGTCAAAGTTACTTTATTACTGGATCCACAATGCACTTACACTATAAGGTAACAGTTGTTTCATATCATCAAAAGCAGTCGCATTATGTGTCTCATAGTTATAACAGAATTAAATACAGCTAATATTCTACTAGGTTTAGTTGATAAAACACCTAAACAATACACACTTTTCGTAAAATTATATCTATGTATGGGAAGATAAGACAAAATAATTTCTTAAGGCCTCGAAAATATTGAACTGACATTTCAAATAGTTAATAAATTGATTGAAATAAAGTGTGCTAATTAACTGAATAAAACTAGACGGTTCGAACCGCCAATATCTCTTCTGGGCATACTTATGCTGTATGTCTGTAAGCTAATCATGCAAATCCGTCGTAAAAAACACTTAGAATTTAAAACTTTTAGCTATAAGAATCACGTAAAAACCTACCTGCCTACGCCTTTGGTGACATAGTCGTGAGTGAACAAACTCGCAATTAACAAAAATACCTGATTTATATCCATTTATTAATATTTTGAGGATTACTTCCGCCTACGGGCAAATTAACCACGTATTTCATTTTGTACTTGAAACTATTTAACTTTTTAAAGCAATCTGGAAAATTTGTATCATTTAACAATACTAAACGTAACCTTTGTGCAAACCTAACAGTATAGATGGCGCCACCTACTTACGAAATATTGACATTAGATTTTTTCATGGAGAAAAGGTATTTTGCCGCTGTAAAAAGTAGCTTATGTGTTATTCTAGGTCATATTCTATTTGTGTACTAAAACTCATTCAGTCGTTTTAGCGTGAAGAAGTAACAAACATACACACAGGCACACACACACACTCACACACACACACACACACACACACACACACACACACACACACACACACACACACACAAACCATGTCAATGTGAGAAGCACTCTTTTCTCAAGTCAATGCCGACCAATGAAAATGTTTGTCCCTGTGACTTATTAATGGTTAATGCAAATGATACTTTAACCGGGAACTGAAACCTCTTAAATGATATGGGCAAATCCGTCAGTATCATTGGAATACGCGGAATGTTTGCGAGCTGTCCGACTGCAGGCCCGGTGATGATGGTGGCTACAATGATATTGCCTCGAAGTTCTTTAATTAAAACTCTTGTTGATATTATTTTATAGATTTGGATGGTATACATTTCTTAATATCATTACGGGGATTCCAACTTTTAACTGCAGGAATTAAATTGGGTGTAGAGAATGATACTTATCAGTTCTATCTAGGAACAACGCATGATAACTTTGAAATTAAATGTTCATAATTAAATGATATCTGCTTAACGAATTGACCAATTTTAATGATGGAAAGACAAAAAATTATCTACTTGAAATTATCTCGATGATGAAATACTTTAATTTTATAAGAATTCATATAATCACACGAATAAATGCATCTAAAGTATGGTAGTAGATATTGAACAGTTTAAAAAACCCTTTTTATAGCTTAGCTGTTATAGATAGATATACCCTCTCGCGAACTTTTTTGTAGATCTTTTTTAGTCCTGCAATTCATTAGCCAATTTTTTCGTCTTATCATTAACCATTTAAGCAGCGCACGCGCACGCTAAGAAAGGAAATTTTTGAGACGATTTCTTTACACCTTGGTTAACATAACCAATTTTTTTTTGCACATATCTAAGCTTTTTAGAAATAAATTATAGCTTATGTTACTTCCTGATAATGTAGCTTTCTATTATTGAGAAATTGTTTTAAATCGGTCTAGTAGTTTTGGAGCCTATTCGATACAAACAAACAAAAAATCTCTTCCTCTTTATAATATTAGTATAAATGATTTGTGTTATGCATAGTCCGCATAAGTTGCGCAGCGGTTGCATGTTATGTCAAATATTATCGCTAAGCGGAAATAGCGGGCGTTATTCAAAAAGCAATTGAAAATGTAATATTCAACAGGCTACTAAATTAATGATACCTTTACAGCATAGCACCATCTTGGTACCATCGTTTGGGTCAGCTCGTGCGCAATTACAGCTCAGTATTATTCCCCTATGCAGCTGGTGTGGTGCTTCTGGCAGTGAGAAGTAACATATGCGAACTACAAAAGCGTGGCAATTGCCTTTCAATGTACGGTGCACTGTGTAGTGAACGTGTCAAGCCGTATTATGTACTCGTGTCTGTTAAACTGGCTGCTGTGGCTTTGACGTAAGTAAATTGTATTTTTTTATTCATGCAACAGTGTGTTCTGTCTCTTAAACAGAACTCTCAAATATTTGATTAAGCTACTTGTTGACTTTGCTCTGATCGCTATAGATTAATAGTGTTAGTAAATATACTAGACCCTTAGATCACGAATCACTATTTGCTCACGAGATTACTTGGTCTATTTTCGATTACAAAATCACAACAAAATAGTGTAAAGCATTTAAATATATTAAGAAATAGTTAAAAGATCGTTAAAATCTATAATATTAATTAAATTCTATAATTTATAATTGTTTTCATTTCTTTTGTAGATCGTTTCCTATCATAACCTTTCTGTTTGAGAACTCAAGTTGGAAGAATATAGAAATGCAGTATTTCATAAATTCTCTGTTGATTCTTCCGGCGTATTTGACAGCGGTGGGCATCGTCACTATCACAGCGGCGGCAATAATGCTCGTTATGATATTTTCCTCGCAGATAGCTCATAGGTTACTCTTTAGGTATGTATCTCAATTATTAAGCCTTTTATTTTATTTTTTGCCCTGAAAAATCAAGGAATAGAAAATAAGTATATAAGGGTAATAAAAAATGTATATTCCAACAGCAAAGCACGAATAAAATTGGAAACAGCGGGGGAAACTTTCCCAATACACAGGGGAGTGAGGCAGGGAGACCCACTCTCGCCAAAACTTTTTTCATCCGTGCTAGAGGAAGTCATGAAGAAGATGAAATGGGACAGCATAGGGATTAACATAAATGGAACACGTTTGAATCATTTAAGATTCGCGGATGACATTATACTTATAACAGATAACCCGGAAAGCCTTAAAAACATGTTCCAAGATTTGTCAAGTGAGAGCAGAAAGGTGGGCCTAACAATAAACAAATCAAAGACTAAAATATTAACAAATAGATCCCAAATAAGCATCTCAGTAGATCAGGAAGAAATAGAATATGTAAATTCCTACATATATCTAGGCCAACTTATTGCCTTCATCATGGATTCAGAAATAGAAAGGAGGGTAGCCAATGCATGGAAAAGGTTTTGGTCTCTCAAAGAAGTGCTAAAGGGTAAACAATATACTATTGCTATGAAAAGGAGAGTGTACAACACATGCATATTACCAATTCTCACCTATTAATGCCAGACCTGGGCTAACACACAGAAACAAAACCAAAAACTGACCACATGTCAAAGAGATGGCTCTTTGACATGTGGTCAGTTTTTGGTTTTGTTTGGAGAGGAGTATGCTGGGTTACACAAAAAGAGACAGAAAGAGAGCTGTAGATTTAAGGCAAATTACGAAAATCGAAGATGTCGTAGTCAAAACCAAAACACTTAAGTGGAGATGGGTAGGCCACATGATGAGAGAGAATAGGAATAAATGGACGAAAGATATAACAGAATGGACCCCTAGATTCCAAACAAAAAGGAAAAGAGGAAGACAAAGAATGTATCTCAATTATAGTAGGCCAAAACCTCCTTTACAAGGAGAGGCTTATGTCCAGCTGTGGACTATCAAAGGCTTTTGATGTGATGTGATGTGATGATGTATCTCAAAATGTATTTTTATGTAGTTTATATTATCAGTCACCTTGACTGATAATTAAGAGTAGTAAACGTTATTTCTTTTAAGATTTCGCTTTTTTCGTGTAGGTTCTGTTCTCAGTCATTCACGGCGGATAGATTAATCGAGTATTATAGCATGGTGTCTTCTCAAAGTTTTAATAGAACTCCATTTTTCCTTGCTTTGCCTACAAAATAAATATTAATTTTTTTAAGAATAAAGTATGTTGAATAAATGACTTACAACATGGACATACCATCGTATAGAAGAAAATATGTTTAAACACATTAAATTGTCTGACTTGTCAATGTAGTGTTTTCATAATTAAAAATATATTGAATTTTCTTTCAGGATTATGTGGCGTGGCAGCTCAAACTTAACTGAGAAGATTGCCTCGGGGCTGCAGAAAGTGCCCATTGTAGTGACGGTCTCCATGCTGTGTGCCGCGCCGCTGTCGTGTGGCGCCGCCGCGCTGGTTGTAGGCGCTGCCTTCTACTCCTTTATGGTATGATATAAATTTGTTAACTAACATGTCGATCAGGCGTCTTCAATTTCCATAAGTTCTAAACACCTATTTATATATAAATATTATTCTTGCAGCTTTCGAAAATGTACGAAGATTACTTAGAAGATTACGTGTACAAATTAATGGCGAAAATAGCGTCAAAAGTGTGTAGGATGTTTAAAAAAAAACAATCTTCCGAAGAAGCGAAAAATAGTCTTATTGAAAGAGATTCAATAGAAACATCTAGTCAAAGTATCAACGAAGACCAAAAATGTAATAGTGATAGAGAAAAAATAAAACCTATCGAAGTGTCTCAAAATAAGGACGTAGTAGCAGGTACTGCTGCCGACACGAAAGAAAATACGAAGGATACACAATACTTGGAAAATAGAGATATAACTGTTGGTTCTAATTCGGACGGTATCGCTAACGAAAAGAAATCAGAACAGTCATCTAAAAGAAAAGAAAGCAATAATAGTGAAAATAATCTGGATATGCATGAAGGTCTTAATAATTTGAATTTTCACATGATGTTGTTCTTTATGTGGCTTACAGTGACTTTAGTCAATATGCCCGCTCTGCTCACATGGGCAAGAAATTTCCGGTAAGTTTATTTTTGTTTGACTAATGACAAGTAATGTTTTTATATTAGATACTATTGACGAACTTGACAGATAATTGTCTTGCCCCAACGTAGTAATTTCCTTTTTGGTGTAACTGAAAAAAAAACAAAAATCTTAAAACATAAAAATATTTGGTCGAACATTTCTTCAACTCGGTTGTAGCGCCATCTTTTGGCTCCAATCCTGAAATGAAACAAGGGCACAAGAAAAAATTAAACAAAATGGTGTAGTTTACATACACAAGTATGGAAAAATTTTATGTCAAAAAGTACAAGTGATTAATTTTATCATCAAACCAAGGAAATTCAACTGAAGAAATTTTTGATTACAGTTCACTCGCGACAGCAATGCATTAAAAGAAATGCTTTTATATTATTTCAGATATAGCAAGGTGTTAGAGACAGATACATCTTATCATACTGGTTTGGTTATGTCGGCTTGTTCGGGCTATGTATGGCAAATCAATGGACCAAGGAAACATTTGTAAGTAGTTAAAGTTGATTTCTTTTTCCTTATTTTATCTCAAATTGTACTTAAAACTTTAATGTATGATTAAGTCACTGTATAAAGCACAGTACGGTTAAGCACTTTATGGGTAGTCATAGCGTAGTATTTAATTATGTGGTTTAATTATGTAGTCATAGTTTTTTTTTTACATTGAATTAAAATGGTATAATTTTTATTTGCCAACCATTTCTTTTTGTTTGGCTTAGATTTCAGACTGGTCCGAATTTTATTGTTCTGTTCATAATAGATATTTTGTTTCCTTGTAATAAATACATTCAGTTGCTTATAATAATATACATCTCTGCAAAAACCACGAAGGATTGTCTACTACTCATGTTACAGCATTGTTGCAGCAACTTACTGATAGCTTATACCTACTTATAACTTATTACAATTATTAAACTACGATTACCATACATATATAAGCAATAAGTAAAAAAAACGTTTCTAATATATTGATTATTTTTATTTGCAGAAGAAGCTACGAGACAGTATCAGCGTTACTCTTCACCATGGCAGTAATCATATTAGTATTAGGTCCTCTGTATCTTCCAATCGTCAATTATGGAGTTACTTTTATGTTTGTTACTTTAACTGTTCAGCAAATGTTTGATAAAGAGAAAGTTATTCATTCTAAAGGCATCGCTGGTCAAAGACGTGATAAAGACAATGAGGAATTTAGTGAAGAGAAACAGAATAGTAAAGAGTCTAGTGAACAAACTGAAACATCTACATCTGGTGATAAATGTAATGTATGCAGTGAAAGTAGAATTTATAACTTATTTCAAAATCTTAGAGAGAAATTTAGTTTCATCGAAAATTTATAGTGTGAGGCTAAATCTATATGTATAACAACTGCATCTGTGATTATAATTGAAGTGGAAACTTCTTTAGGCGCGTTGGGCATTTTTTGAGATGGGAAAAAACAATTGAACTCGCGACACTGTTACCGTTACCGACACCTCTGTATATAAGTTTTTACTTCTGTCGGCAATCTCAAAGTGCCACTGTTTTTTTTAGTATCTATGCAATGAGTATGGCATTGCACCATAGGAGAGCCATGCTATGCAAAGTCTTGACCGGAGTGATAAGACAGCTTCACATTAAACTGGTGCTAAGTATTTCTTTCCTTGCTATTTACTGAGTGAGGTTTCCAATACTCCTCTCCTCCTGGTTCCGGGGGGAGGGTTTAAAGGGCGGTAAAGTACTTATAACCAAGTTGCAGGGCGGAGGTTGTCACTTACGACTAGGTGTCCCATCTGCTTTTTGCCTCCCTGTGCCATAATAAAAAGTACCTTTTTGGAAGCTTTTCTGTTGCTGTTAATTTTTAAAATGAATAATAAAAATTTAAAATTAAGATTAACTATTTATTATGAGTGCCTATCCCACCCACAAAGCTTAAATAAACAAATTATTATGCAAGATTGTATGCCAAATGCGGACACCCTACTCTATTCTTGAAAAAAAAAAACAATGCACTAGAAATATATCCTGTCGCACAGGACTTTGCAAACATACTTGAAATGGATACAAAGAACACCTAGGCTCAGTACAACAATTTGTGGTTCACACAAAGTATTGTCTCATGTGGGGGATTGAACCCACAATACTCAGCACAATAGGAAGCAGAGAGGTGACTGCCTTAATCCATACACCATCCATGCAGTCATTAAAGGCTAGTGAGCCTAAGTCACTAGTTAAGCAGCAACTAGTTGAAGAGTCAAATTAATCTCTGGTTTAGTACCATTATAATACTCAGTTCCAATTACTACATCTATGTACTTTGATTTTAACAATTATAATGTTAGTTACTATCCATAAAATAACCTGCCTGCTTCTTTTCCTCGTTATGTTATAAAATCTAAAGAGACAATAAATAAAATAGATATAAATCTATATAGATATGCATGCTTTGTTGCAAGGTTTTAAAATTTTTGGTTGGAAATTGGTTTAAAAGTTATTTTAATTGTTTAATGTAAAAAATAATAAAAACATTCATTTTATTACATATTTTTTACATTAAACAACTTTTAAATGTTCACCCTAAGCATACTATGTAGTGTATAAAGCTATGATTAAGTAATAATAAAAATAATGCTGATGCTTTTATACTTAGTTGTGTTCAGAGAATTATTTTAATATTATATTATTGTATCAACAACTTCCAATTTTTTAGACAGGTAGCATTAAATTATCACTAAAATGAACACATGCAAATTCATATGCCACTGACAGTATAGATAAAACAGGGTCAAAGTTTTTACATATTATTAGCTGACCCACTCAACTGCATCTGTCTCACAAAAGGAATAACTTTCTCGAATTTTCGCAACATTTTTCATTGATGTTCGGCTCCTATTGGTTGCAGCGTGATGATGTATGGCCTATAGTGCTCAATAAATAGGCTATGCAACACTAAGAATTTTTCAATATGAACCAGTAGTTCCTCTAATCTAATTACTGCGTTCAATCAAACAAATTCTTTAGCTTTACTATATTGCTATAGATTTACAAGAATGTTTTTCTCTTCTGTTAAGTTTTGTATACATACATTATATAGAATGTTAGTCATGTTTAGGAACCAGATAGGTTGTTGTCCCTACTGGTTTTATTAAACAAAGCATATAAATATATGGATATTGCTATGCAATTTGAAAATTTTTAGACACATTTAGTGATGCATGTTTTAATAGAAAGTAAAGTATTTAAAAACCTATTCACAGTTTTTTAAATAATTTCCTGAATTACATTATAATAAAACATATAAATGACTTTATTTTATTTAAAAAAGAAGATTAATTTAGAGTAACGGATAGCTAAACATGTTCCCCAAGATCTATTTCTTTCCTTTTTTGCCTGATGGTTTCTCTTCATTGATCCGAGGGTTCTGCCAGTTCAGGGCATTACGACGGTACATAGGCCACGGAGGAACGGTGAGAATTGCAGCTAAGATGAATCCGGCTCCAAGAATGTAGACAGACTGCGAGAACTGTTGTACGATGTAGCCCCATACGAAGCCGACTATACTAAACAGCGTGATAATAGCTCTGTACAACTTTTCTGCTTTAGCTTGACCGACATAATCGATATGAGTTGGTATAGATGTGAAAAAATCCATGTTTAATAGTAATTTTACAAACTTATGTTTCTTACTGGACACGACGATAGCAAAGCAAATAAACTATTTTCATTTGACAACGTCTAATGACACGTCTTATTTAAGTCAGTGTTGCCAGCAGTTAAATTCTGTTAAATGAACTCCACCAGAATCCACATCCAAAACCGCAACGTAAAACGACCCTACTCTAATAGGCACAAAATTTTCACAAATATTTTTTAGTAATTACGAAAATCCATAGGTATATTAATAACTAGTTTCCTTCATTAAATTTTAACACGATAAATACGATTTTTTGAAACCGTCAATTGAAATATATTTGTTGCAGCATTCTCCTTCCAACCTCAAACCACAGCGTATTCTTAACATAGCAGATAAAAGTTTTAACTGCATTCTATTCCTCTGTTTATACATTTAGCCTCTCAACTCAACATCGGCATTAAAATGAGGCAGTATTAAGAGAGTAACACCAAAGGTCGTTAAATCCTGAAATGTCTAATCTTTGGAGAGCAACCTCTAGTATGTATCAGGCGCCGGAGGTCGCAGAACGACCTCCGTCCTCCATAAGCGCAGGCCTGGGGGTGACAGGTGAGGCCATCTGTCACCCTAGCAGAAGCAGGCCGGGGTGGCGGGGAGAGCGTTGCAAAGCGCCCGCGCCCTTCCGGGAGCACAGAGGGTACATGGGGGTTCCCACACAGGGGGGGGGGGGAGGGTCGTCTGGTACCTGAGACGGCGTGCGGTTTAAGTCGGTTCGAGTCCGACATTACCACCAGTAAGTGGTATACGAGGTGATTAGATTATTAGATATAGAAAAAATTGGTCTCTCGTCTGTTGTAAAGAATGGAATAAACAAGTTCTCAGCTGATCAAAAGAAAACAAAACTGCACGTCATAATAATTGCATATAACATATAATTGTAGGCTATTTACCCATTTAACTCACTGTTCTTTCTTTAAGAAAAATAAATGGTTGTGATGATGATTATGATGAAGAAGGATAAGATGATAACAAAATGTCATATTTAGTGATTTGATTGTGAGTTAAGTGGAGCAGTTGTTATAAACGTATACATAATGTTTAAAAATACTGTTGTAATATTTTCACTAAAATATGTAATTATGTATTTATAAATATTAAAGTACCATTTTTTTTGTTTATCAGTACTTAAGTAACCATAGCACAGGATCTGTCTATTTTGGGATAGCTGTGAGATCTGTGAAGTTATTGTTATTATATGTATAAGTATTCTTGACCAGAGGTAGCCCGTTTCTTAACTTTCAAACTTATCTAGCATTTCTTACGTATTCTTATCTTACTATATAAGTGTATGACAGAATCCAACCTACTTAATACACGCTGTGCATTAAAATATCAACAACATGTAAAAAGTCTTGGATAATGCCAAGTCCGCAACACAATAATGTTCAGAAACTTAATATTAATCTCTTAAATCATTATCATCATTTATAAACAGCGTTTAAGTATTTTCCTTTATTATTGATAATAATGCAATAAGTTAGGTTTTAGACGGATTCACTTCAACTCAATATTGATTGCTACAATCACACACTCGCGCCAAATCTAGACCGATAGTTGAAAAAGCTTCTGATAATTGATGTAACGGTACATGTTTATAGATTTGAAAATTATCTGCACAAAGGTTTTAGGATGAGGCTTATGACTAAGAGATAGAATTTATAAATACAATAAAAAGTAAATGAGATAAAATGCGGGATGCCAGCAGACGTTTTACACCATAAAGAAAATACTATCCAGTCGCACACGCTGCCTTTGACCAAAAGGTAACTTTGAAACCACTCAATTACTGTTGGAGATATGTTAATAGAGCGCAATATGCCCAGCAAGATGTGGAAATCTACACTATTAAAAGCATTGCTAAAGTGCAGTAAGACCAATTGGAAGATTTCTATTCTCCATACCGAGCCTGATGTCGTCTGTAGCATTGATCAAGGCACTTACTGTACTATGACCGGCACGAAAACCTGATTGGAGAGGATTTAGGAGTTTTTTTTTAAGGAATGAATTTAATTGGGTGCGAACAAGACATTCAAGGATTTTTGAAAGGAAGGGCAATATGGAACTAGAAATAACAAAATAGGTCTCTTCTTAGAAAGGTCATACAGTATTTAGAACAATCACCAACAATTATTTATATTTGTGAAGAAGAACAATCGCCAAGAAAAAAGTAAGAACAAAGGAGAAAGTAGATTTAATCGTTTTAAAATACTACCACAGCAAAAAAAAATAGACACTATAACCAAAGTAATTCTACCTTCTACCATTGTTGATTAATGCAATATGTAAGTAATTAGTTTTAAGTTTATAGCAATACCAACGTATATTTTCCGTCAGTCGATTGTCAACATTCAGTACGATCAGACTCATTAGGTTAATTTTTAGTTAACAACAAAGGTAATTAGTTTTATTTTCAAAAAGTACAATACACAAAATTAAGAAACAAAATGACAACTTTCAAGCAAGTTCCTCTCACATGCGGTGGCCATACTAGACCAGTCGTGCATTTGGATTTTAGTGACGTTACAAAAGATGGGTATTATTTAATTTCGGCCTGCAAAGGTGAGTTTTCTTAACTAATTTGTTATGACTGTGCCCTTTCGTCTTGGCCTATGTTTGGGCGGAAGTCTTTCAAGTGTATTCGGATATATAAATGAGGATTATGTGTGACAGATGTTGGTGACGAGATGTGTCCGAAAGGCCTTCACTTTTCATGTTTGTGTAGAGCTGTCCGGTGTGCATTCTATGCATGTTGTGACCTTCTCTTTCCGGACATGCAGGAAGTACCTTGAATATCCGCGTAGTTTCCTCAGCTGCTTGCCTTGATGACTGTGCTCAGGCCTCTTAGTTTATACATACAATAGCCATTCGTTTGTCTACACATAAATTATTGTATATGAAATTTTGTTCCTATGTTGAATGTTGACATTTCACCTGTTGTGGGTCACCTTGTGCTCACTCAAGGTTTGACAAAGTACTTGACATTAATGTTTACTGTGTAAAAGGGCTTGTAAACATGTTATGAAGTTACTTTCAAAATGTACTTACAAGGAAAATAGTCAATATCACTTATGTAAATTTTGCTTCCTATTAATCTCAGTGTTTTTGTGTAAGCCTTTCTATAGAGATATCATACTATTTAATACAACTTATTTGAAGTATTGAGGAGTAGCCATAAGATCAACAGTAGTAAATAGCTGATGATGTTTCTTTCAACTGAGATGAGGTTGTAGTTATTTGTTGTTGATATTTTACAATAGAGAAAATGAAAGATATTATGTTTGCACATACATGTAAAAAAACAAAAGAAAATGAAAAAATTATATCAATTAAATATAATTCATTACTATTGTATGCTTTTTATGTGACTTCTATTTACATAAACATATATTGTAACACTTACACATCTAACTTAAATATTCATATAGCTATAAGAATCTTATAAGATGTCTTATTCCTTGAATTTTAATTATTTATATTTCCTTGCAAGATTGGTTTTTGGTCTTACTTATTCTGTTGTTGACTTCTATAAAAGGATAATTGTATGACTATGTATGATAAAATAGGTGTCAAAACAAAATATTTGTTGTATGTCTTATGTTTATAAAATACTTTTATTATTATGTTTACTTAAATGTAAGGTACAAGTGAAAGCACACCCATAACTTCATCTACTGTTATGGCTTTTCTTAGTTTTCTCACCTTAAGATTTGCCTAAATGACAGTTGCTTTGTTTTGTCTACACCAATTAATACAAATAAATTATTTTTAGATGGCAAACCCATGTTGCGGCAAGGTGAGACTGGTGATTGGATTGGTACTTTTGAGGGTCATAAAGGAGCAGTGTGGGGAGTAGCTTTAACACAAAATGCCAATCTTGCTGCAAGTGGAGCAGCTGACTTTTCAGGTAAAATACTAGAAATGACTGTAGATAGAGAATAGTTAAGGTAATAATTGATGTCTAATACAGTTTTAACTTTTAGCTTAAAAAAAAAATGGGAAAAAAAAAACTCATTTTTCCCATTTCCCTTCAAAACAAAACTATGTCTTTGAGGCAACCATTAATGTAGTTAGCCACTTCTGCTACTGCTTTACTTGGGAGGTAGAATATGGGTAAGTTCAGAGGTTTTCTTTTGTGAGGAGAATATCAATTAGCTGAGAGCCCGCAGTGATCATTCATAGCCAGCATAGATTGATGAAGATTATATTACTTTATCAGATATGGAGTTGAAAAAACATTTCGCTTAACTGGAGATAATAATAGAAATATGTGAACATCTTTATTAGTATTCTTTGTAGAACAAAAACTTATGATTGATATGTTTTTAACTAATTTATAAATGTTTTGCAGCAAAGTTATGGGACGCTAGATATGGTGAGGTGGTGCACACATTTGACCATGAGCATATAGTAAAGAGCGTCAACTTTAATGCTGACGACACTATGTTACTCACGGCTAGCAACGAAAAACTAATTAGAGTTTTCGACTTAAACAAACCTGAGGCTGGAGGTAAGTACTGTACTTTTCATAATATATAATAATTGTGATTATTTAGACCAGTTATTTGAAATATTGTCATAATGAAACTGTACTGTGGCGTTCCCTATGGATGATAATTTCGAAAGGAGGTGCTTAATGTTCATTTACAGTGATGGGCTGCAAGCAAATCCTAAATGTCAATAAATTTGTTAAGAAGTATGAGTGATGGGATAATAACAATCTTTCAATAGGATTATACTACCAATAAATATCAACATGACATAATTTAAAGAAATGAAATAAAAAATGATTTAAAGTTCATCAACGGCCTATACTAGTCCACTGCTGGACATAGGCCTCTCCTTAGAAAGGAGGTTTTGGCCTACTATACCATGCTGGCCAGACGGGTTGGTATAGGGTTTGTTTCAAGTTTTCCTTCTCTTTGCAGTGCTGTTGTCCTGCTTAGTTTGCTCCCTTAGTCGGCTCTTACGACACCTACAGGATGAATTGGGGTGGTGACAATTTGTATTCTTAATCCGTCACCACACGGACTATTTTAAAGTTAATTACCAATAATTGTTTATCTATACAATGTTGTACTAATAAATGTTATTTTACGAAAAATATTAAAAAATTACCCTTACATTTCATTTTGAAACATTTATGAGTTTAAATGTTATTCGTAAATTGACAGTTATCTTGCAGAGTTTTAAAGGTGTTTTGTGAATTGGGCCACTTGGTCTAAAGAAACATATATGTTCATAGCTTAATTGCATAATACGAGTTATAAATTTAAAATTATCGAAACGAAACACTAAAAATAAACGAAACTTAAAATTAGTGTAAACCGGCTTTGTAGCAAACTGTGTTTTAAGCTTGGTTAGACACACAAGCTTGGGTTTGCAAAAAACCAATGTTTTTTATAAACTTTCGAGCCCTTAGCCCTCCTTATACCTGTCTTAAAATCCGTTCCAAGCTTACGTGTTCTGCTTGTAACCGGTTGGTTACAAGCAGAACACGTAAGCTTGGAACGGATTTGAAGAAACTTCAAATTTAATAGAGAGGTTTCTCTATTAAATTTGAAGTTTCTAATATATACAAACCAAGGATTTTTAAATAATATTGTGAGAGGATATAGACTCTTCAATCTTTCCCTGTTGTAAAAGTAACTATCTCCGTGGCGAATTGCAGATCTGTTGTTGAAAAAACTAAGGACTTTTCTTTACTAAGGAGTTCAGCCGATTCAAAATTCTTTTATTTTGACTGTTAAAATAACTATAATCTTATTTACATACAGCTCTGGAGAAGTTCACAGCACATACAAATAGTATTAGACATGCAGTGTTTCTGCTCAATTCACGCATAGTCAGCGTGAGTGATGACCTGACGATGCGAGTATGGGATCGTAACAGTGGACAGGTACTTAGATATGTTTTTCATTACAAATAATAATTTGTAAGAATTAGTAATAAATATTACTAAAAATACATCTTCAGATCAGTAATGTTACAAAAATTGTGCCCCAATTTTATAGATAACGTCATCAAATCGCTGAGCTGTATAAAAATATTAAATTTAGATTTGCTTCTAAAATGTATGCTACTAATAAATAAGTAAGTATTTAAACGTTGTAGGTTTTCCACCCACCCAAAAGGTTAATAAGCAACTCGAAGAATACCACGAATATAGATCACTGTCCACATAATGAGATTATACTTTACTTTTTCATGAGTTCTTAAAACTCTGTTTTGGTTCCTACAAATAGTCGGATAGATTATAGGGGTATTTAACTTACGTCATAAGAGGCAACTCTTTTGCTGTCTACCGAGCACTTTGGGAATTTGTGATGGGAAATGTGCGAGTTTAATGAATGAGAAAGGAAGGAGAAGGAAGATATAGCTTATACGAAATAATTGGGGAGAGTAAGCTCGAGCAGGTATCGCGCATACATGTAACTCAAACCAAGTTGCCTGCAAACATAGCGACAGACAGTATTGTTAAAAATATTTTGATTTCCTATTACATAAAACGGCACTTTCGAAGAAACTAAAACAACCCTACTAACAAAGCCCGTCACAATGATGTCTCTGTTTGATTAGTTATAGAAAAATATATAATTGTTATAGCTAATTAGATTTTGTTGACACTACACGGCTGACAGATAGTTTACGTTCTATTGTATGGCTACGTAGATATAATTTACAATGTGTAGGCGTAGGCTTTAAGTGTGTGATTTATGTATGTTATAATTTGCAGGAGGTTCAGAAAGTAGAATTTCCAACCATACCCAACAGTTTAGAATTGTCAAGGGATGGCGCGATATTGACGGTGGCATATGGTAAGCAATCGATTGACTACCTATAGATTATAATTATATGCTGTCATAGCTTGACCCTGATACATTTCGATATTTTGATTTGAGGTCAACTTATATGTAATCACATCTGGTCTTACGTTTAAAGCGAAGGCAACGTTAATACAATTAAGTATGGTATTTATTAAAAATGTTTATACTCAAGGATACAGGAAGAAAATGAAGTATATTATGACGAGACCATATATTGTTACATAAAACTGGCTGTGCATACTTTTGATAAGACGCCGATATACGAATACTTAGCTTATACATAGTAGTAAGTTTTGTAATAGTACTTAGTTTTATAAGATGTCGGCATTTATAATATATCGGCACAGTAGATTTCATCAACACACAATGTCTTTAATCTAAGGTTTTAAAATATTTGTTTTGAAAATGTCTGTATCAAATGTTTTTAAAGTAGGATTAAAATAAAATGTCTCTAGGATTAAAATGAGATGTATAGATTTTAGCAATATGAATAATCCGTTCGACCTTTATTTCCTTACTATACAACTTTCCTTATTTTGGTTCTCAAAATAAATTGTGGCCTTAAAAGTGACGTAGCCACTGTGACGCCGGACACGATTCTAACTTCCTGTACCTGTGTTTACGGATGTAAAGATATGGTACTAGTACTTAATATATAAACCTAGAGATAATTAAACATGTTCTAGGAATTATCTATTAATCAGTTAGATCCTTACTAAGCGCACTCCGCGAGTATGCCTGTAATAATAACGATAATTTTCGTGTTTGTCTGGCATTAAGTATATAATATATAATACTCGTATAATAATAATACACATAATAAATACTAATATGATGTATATAGTATGTGAGATGGTAAACCTGGGACGTGTTGGTGCTGGTTCTTTCTTCTGCATTAGGAAGGGGAAATGTAAGGACGCGCGCGAACGAGGGTCACCTGGTGTTATACAGTTTCAAATTAAAAATTAAAAAGTTATTTTTAATTTTGCACAAGAATCTAATTTTTCCGAAAGTAGTTACGAGATGTCTAGACCGACGCACGATATGTACGAGTATATGAAGTAACAAAATATTTGACAAAACAATACCTTTTAAATACAGTAAAATCAAAGGCTGATTACTGAATAACTTCGAATCATTGTAAAAAGCACGTGACTGCAAAATGTACAAAATATTTTTATTTGTAAACTGCTGCTGTTGCTAAAAAAAGATCCCTATACATTTATTTTTGAAACTCATCATAATTTAATAGTGAAATTCAATCATCAACAAGTGTCTTTTTTAAAATTCCCTCGCAAATTTCTTAAACGCAACGCTATTGGTGCAACAAAACGTGACGTCAAATTCACTCGACGTCTTCTGTCAACTCTTTGTATGGTTTCTTGTGATTATTATTTTGTATTGTTTCGTATTTGTTTCATATTACGTTCAAACTCAAACTTTCTTTATTTCATAAAATTTCCAAAATTGTTTGAAATCGTCTTCCATGTAGACTCTAAAGTCATAGAACAACACACACACACAACACACAAAAGCAACAATCTCTGTTTTGTCAAATAGTAACCAAATAAATTTAACAAATAGTCAAACCCATACAAAATCTATGATATGCCTGTGCAGATCTACAACCGCCTGTTTCCAAGGGGTTGAGCCTTATGAGAAGAAAGGGCAAACAAATTCATGGCCACTCTTTTGCAATTCACAGGTAGATACAATGGGACTATTAAATATACCACAACATTGTTTTGATGTGTGCTAGTATGTCCGTTATTAAGGACTAAAAGGTGAAAAGACAATGAAGAGAAGTTAAAAGTTATTAGTTTTCTGTGTTATAGTATTAAATCCTTGTGGAGAAAGACTTCACACAATGACGGAAACCGGTTTTGTCAAAGAGCAATCAGATGATCTTCTTAAAATAGACGTGTTTATGATGATCATAAATTATTTAATACGTATAATAATATACGACTGCACGGATGGTGTAGTGGTTTAAGCGCTCACCTCGCCGCTTCCTACTGCGCTGAGTGTTGTGGGTCCGATCCCCACATGGCAAAACACTTTGGTGTGATTCACTAATTGTTGTTCTGAGTCTGGGTGATTTTTGTGTCTGTTTAAAGTATGTTTGTAAAGTTCCCCGCGACACAGGATATGTTCCTAGTGTGGAAGTTGTCCTTTTAAAAATGACAATTATTTTCAAGCTGAAACCCAAAAATAAAATAAGAAAAGTAAATAAAAATAGTTAAGAGCTTACCTCTTACTTTAATAAGGATAGTAGGTATATGTTTTCATTCATAGGCAAGCATAGGCAATGGATAGGCATAGGCTTATGTATATTGGATGTTGAGATATTGAGAATATAATTATATTAAGTACTAGCTGAACATGTTTTGTTGCTTATTATATACATGTATACTTATATATATAATTCTTAAAAAAAAAACAATTAAAAACATACATAGTTTACGAACTTTTCGGTAGGTTTTCGTCGAAGTTTGTATAAAAATGATGTGCAGATAACTCAGTAAAAATGATCTTAACAACAGTATGAACAGCTAAAACACGATACATTGTCTCTTGTCATCGCCTTGCACAACTTTTTCCTTATACCTGTATCTTTCGGCATAAGGAAATATACTTTGTCAGGTACAGTTTTGATGTTATTTTGGCACATAGGAAAGACACAATATTTAAAGTAAAATTTTCTGTACTTTTTCATGGTAATAAGTTGATTTTATGAATCACTTTTTAACTTTTAGTAATTTTGTGAATCAAACACTTCGTTTTTGACATGGAACTCTCTGTAATCTGACGTCACAGAATAAGCCCACCAAAATTGTCGCGTTTATATCGCCCATAAATGATGGTGATTTTTCAAAATTTTTTTTAGCTCAATGGTTTATATTTCGCGAGTTTTATATTTATTTTAGGTAATGTAATAACTAGTAGAAATGTACAAAAATAAAAAAAGAGATGCATATTACCTATGACCTTTTAAGGTAAATCTGAAAACTGCAAGCTATTAAAAAAAATGTAATTTCCAGGTACAAATGTATCATTTTATTCTTCGGACACGATGCGGAAGATGCGCGAGTTTTCGGTGCCCACCAAATGCTTCTCGGCGTCGTTGGCACCCAGCCGTGCTAACTTCGTCTGCGGCGGTGAGGATCTCAAAGTGTACAAATTTGACTATAATACCGGCACTGAGCTTGGTAAGTACTATATTTTTATTATTTTTAATTATTTGACCTTTCTTGCGAAACTCACAAAATATATGGCACGATAAGACTGTTTAAAGTAGTTTGAGTAGACCTTTACATAGATGTCAACAGTACTTTGCGCTATTTGCATAAGAATAAACAATGATGTAATATCGCAGAAACATATGCATGTGGGTTACTGATATCAAATCACTTCCTTTGATAACAATGAATAGACAAAATGTTTACAATCATATCTGAATTATATTTTTGAACTAAAATATTGCGTAAATATAATTCTCGAATTATAGTTTTGAACTAAAATATTGCAAAAATATAATTCTCAGATAAAGTCTGACTATCTAATGACTACTACTAGCTATTTTGATAAGGCTAACTTCGGGAGAAGTTGTTTTCTCTATTGCATTTACACGTGTATTATGTAAACTGCATAACCCTTTTTTTTGTAGAGGGTTCAAGACTGTAGCTGTATCTATTCACTGTATAAACAAAGCCGGGCTCTGGACCTAGCCTAGACACCGAAAAGTTATTGTCATTGGAAATGTAATTCTGAAATTCAAATTACTTATTTATTTATTTAATTATTTATTTAATTAGAGCATGGAAGACTTACAGCTACAATTGTTCAAAACGTTACCAATTACAATAATTGCCTGAAAGCCAATTACAAGTCTTCACTTATAGCACTATGTTAATAATTTGAGGTGCAATCAAAAAAAAAAAGAGAAAAAGAAACAGTATAAAAAATTTACAGACTATAAATAAGCTAAATCACGGTCTCAACTAGCCTCCTGGGTTATGCATGCATTTTATTAGGTTTTAAGTATTGTTAACTGAGGTAAAAAAGGAACGACTCAAGCACCTTCTAGCCGAAGGAATACTTGTAGCAAAGGGGTCAATATCGTGCTGTTTGCATAATCTGTTGAATTTTCGGCTTGCCCGCACAATATAACTATTTTGCCTATAATACGTTGTAGTTCTAGGTACTCTTAGTGGTGGATTGAAACGAGTTGACTTGCATGGAATATTAAAATATATTTTGGCTAAAAGCTCAGAGCAATCTATATCGTTGTTTAGTAGTTTTAGAATAAATAAATAGTCAGCAATTTCCCGTCGGTCAGAGAGCGGTAATATGTGAAACTGTCTACAGAGTTGAAGATAATTATTAGAGTGATATGGAAGCTTTAGATGGTAACAAAGGTATTTGATAAAACGTTTCTGTATATTTTCCAAACGGTTTATATACACCTGGTAGCGTGGGCTCCATATAAGCGAGGCATATTCAAGGTGGCTTCTGACGAACGTGCAGTATAAAATTTTGAGAGTCTTAGCTTCAGTAAAAGACTTAGAAAGGCGCATGATAAATCCGAGTGCTTTAGAAGCCTTCTTAGCAATGTTGTCGATATGTACGTCGAAGATTAGTTTGCTATCGTGGTGTACACCCAAGTCACGGATAGTATTTTGTCTAGGCAAGATCGTTCCACTCAATGTATAGTTATTAAATTGTGTAGTATGTTTCCTAGTGAATGTAACCACTGAGCATTTAGAGGGATTGAGATCAAGCTTATTAATCCTACAATACTCATCGAGACGACATAAGTCCTCCTGTAACTCAACCGTGTCTGTAGACGAAGATATCGTTTTAAAGATCTTCATGTCGTCCGCAAAGCAGAGTAGCGAGGACGAACGCAGGCACGAGTCGATGTCATTCACATATATCACAAACAACAAAGGTCCGAGAAGAGATCCCTGTGGAATGCCGCTTGGGACCATAACCCAGGTGGACATATAGTTTTTTAATACAACAGCTTGTGACCTATTGTTTATATAAGAGGAAAACCATCTGAGAAGATCACCACGAATACCAATGTCGCTTAATTTTTGTGTTAAGATGGAAGAATCAATACGATCAAATGCTTTACTATAATCTGTATAAATGACATCGACTTGCTCACCCCCGTCCATCGCCTGCGATATGTGATCGTTTAGTAAAATTAGATTGGTCACGGTTGACCGCCCCTTCAAAAACCCATGCTGGAATGGACTCAGTGACCCTTCAATAGCCGGGTATAGCTGGTTGTAGATGATCCTTTCAAATATTTTAGCTATGATACATAGTTTTGATATGGGTCTGTAATTGGTTATTTCAGTTTTTGAACCTTTTTTGAACACTGGAGTGATAAAGGCAGACTTCCATAATTTAGGGACAACACCGGTAGAGAGGGACTTTAAAAAAAGAAGGGAGACAGGTAGAGAAATGGATGTAGCACACCTAGTGAGAAACTGTGAGGATAGATTGTCTGGTCCAGTGCCTTTAGTCGTATCCAAGTTACTAAGCAATTCAGCAACGTCAGATTCTTTGACCTGTATACGAGCAATATGAGATGGAGAGTCTGAGGGCCAGTAGTTCGGGACATTAATTGGCTTGGACCGAGTACTTCCGTCGCATGAGCTTAAAAAGGTTGAGTAGAAGTAAGAAGAGAAGGCCTCGCAAATATGGTCGCCAGTCTGTAAGAAGTCACCGTTATAGTTCATTACACTAGGAATCACATTGGATTTATAACGGCTTTTGACAAAGGTCCAGAAGTGTTTTGGGTTGTCTTTTATTGATTGTTCGGTTAACTTAAGGTAATGCTTATAACAAGCAGATTCCATGGTTTTTACTCTGTCACGTAACAATTTAAACGTATACTCATCAGATTTATTACCATAGGTTTTGAATTTGCGTAGGTATTTATACTTTTCGCGAATAGCTTTAATGAGCGAGGTGGTATACCATGGTGGATACGTCTTGTTACGGATGGACTTTCGAGGTATGTATTTATTTTGCAAATCAGTCATACAACCATTGAAATACTCCACTGAATCATTTATCGACAGTAGCGAGAATTTATGTTGCCAATCTGTGGATTTTATGTCATTATTTAATGAGTGGTAATCGCCTTTGCTATACACGTACCGCATCCGAGGCGCACAATGTAGAATAGGTATGTTAAGAAAGGATATACTAACTAATAAAGCCGGGTGATATGGATCAGTGGGTACTAATGGGTCAGAGCATTCAGAGACCTGTACGGGATCGCTTGAAATCACTAAATCCAAGATTTTCTCAAATTTATTCAATACGCTATTATATTGTCCGAGGCCTAGGGTACATAATTCGTCTGCAAGTAGGTACTCATCCGCACTCAAAAGATTAGTTGGAGAGAGTGACTCATCATTACTTGGTAACCATCGAATTCGACTCATATTGAAGTCACCAACAATTAAAAACTTATCGCGGTTATTGTTCGTAACTAATTGACTTAGTTTCGATAGAAATATTTCGAGTTGATGTGAAAACGAGAGGCCATTATGTTGTTTGCATAAGTATATAACACAAATGTATAAGTTAATGTACTCGCGCGAATGAGGTTTTTTGAAGCGTATCTTAATCCAAAGGTCCTCAGCGGTAGAATGTAGTAGTGGCTGTGCACTTACCGGTAAATCACGGCGTGTAGCAATAAGAACACCACCCCCTCTCGATTGTCCGGTTGAGAGGTAATCGCGGTCCCTGCGCCACACTAAGTACCGGTCGTTGAAACATTCGGAGTCCAAAACACCTTCAATTAACCACGTCTCGGTCAACACGATAACATCGTATGAGCTCATAGTCACCCCGCGATAAAATGTGTCTGTCTTTGTACGCAACCCCCGTACGTTTTGATAATATATATTCAAGTTTAAATTACGTTCAATACTTGTAGCCATCACTGATACTTGCAATAAATATACAATAAAATACACAAGTAAATAATGTCATGTTTCAAAATATTAATCAAACTCGTTTCAAAATCCAAAGCAAAACTAAATGATAATAACTTTATATTAAGAGGGTAAATGTTAATAGCAAAAAATGTAAAACAGCATTCTATGGAGAATACTTTTAAGTAAACAGGACAGCAAGAGTGTCCTATGCGTATGCAGGCGCATAAAAGCAAGACAGGTATACTCGCAGTTGTATAGGATAAGACTTTAATGCAAACAGCCCGATAAGGACCGCAAGAGCAAGCTGGCGGGTTCGACCGTGAGTCAGAGGTAATAAACATGTTACAAGGGTATACAATATTGTTGATAAATAGAAATATATTAGTACATGTTAAGAGAATATATGGCGAACTTATTATTACATATAAATAACATGTTATACAATTTTGTTTAAATCAGAATCCTTCCTTATAATTAATGTTTTACAGTTGGTGTTTTTGCGGACGTGAATCTTACCGTGCTTAACCCACACAAATTCATAGTTCTTGTCCTTGGCTATACTCTTAGTATTGTTTAGCAACTTTTTAGAATCAATACTTAGGTGGTCATTCACAAAGATTCGGTGCGGCGTGCACTGGAATCCGATGCTTGTGGTAGAAAGTTCCTTATCCGCACGTGCAGCCGTAATAAAATCCTCCTTATTGTACCTATTCAGGAAGCTTATAATTATTAATTTATCTTTTGGATTGTGGGTTGGAATCCTAGAAATGTAGTTAATATGAGTTTTTTGATAGTTAAAGTTGATCTTACGACTGATAGCTTCAACAATTGAGAATAGGTTTTCGTTCTTATTTTGTGGGACTCCTTTAATCTCCACGTTGTTTAGACGCGAACGCTGATCATATGATGCGAGCTCGAACATTGTCTTGGATAGGCTATTACCAAGTGAGCTGACAGTCTCTTGAAGTATTGTAAGTTCAGATGTTTTGGCTTCGAGATCCACAAGTCTAGTACTAAATTCGTCAAGTTTCGCACTGGAGAAGTCGCAAGCGGACTTCAACTCAATGAGTTCTTCCTTGATGGTACGCATATCCTCGACAAGAGCTGGTAGGCTCAATAGCTGGCGTTTCATATCTCTAATTTCAGTAAGCACCATTTCCAGCGTTGCAGGTGGCTCTTGAGTGGGCATTGCCGGTGAGGAAATCCTGCACATGGGACATTTCCATTGAGCTCTCCTATCGGCCCCAAGTTTTCTCCAACCTGCTTCGGAGATATTCGCACAGCCAAAGTCCAAGAGCTTCTTACAGTTGCAGCATTGCACTCCATCGTTGAATTTAACATTACAGACTCCACAGGTCTTCATTATCGCGGTAGTTGCTTCGAGTTTACAGTAATTGTGAATTAAAAAAAGAAAAAAGAAAAAGGTTGGCGATCTATTATTTTAACGACCGAGCGAGCGTGAGGTATATGTGAGCGATCGCACCGCACTGTTATATGAATGTACGTGATGTAAAACTATATAGACTCACGTCAAGAAAGTAGTAAATAAGATCTTTTTCCAATCCTAAACGATTGCCACCATGTAAATTCCTTTATAATTAGTAAATTAAAAATATCCTTAATGTAGTGTTAGTAGAATTTTAACTCTGAAACAATATGTATTTATTGTGGTCACAAAATTCCCAAGGATCAGACTCGCAGCATTCTACGATGTGGTCATCGAAATGTGTTAATAGTTAGTCGTGTTTATCTCCAGAATCGAACAAAGGGCACTTCGGGCCGGTGCACTGCGTGCGGTGGTCGCCGGACGGCGAGCTGTACGCGACGAGCTCGGAGGACGGCACGGTGCGGCTGTGGCAGGGCGTGCCGGGCCGCGTGTACGGCCTGTGGCGCCGCAGCAACGAGCACACGCCCGTCGTCAACGGGTTCAAAGAAGTGGCGGCCAACTGATATCACTCTCCCTTCCAAAGGGTACATTTATACTAATATAAACAAGCTTAAGGCTTTTTTAGTGTTTAATCATTCGACTGTTTTTTTTTTCACCGTACTATGTACCATCAATATGGGTTAAACTACCTGTAGTTTCTTTAGGAGTAAGAGTAGAGTAATACTGAACGGTTTGTTTTATAGTTATATATTTCATATTTTTAGTTTCGTATGTAGAATTGCAATTAATCAGCAGTTATATTGGCTTACTAGATATCTACTAAATAAAACAAAAAGATATCAGTCCATAGTCGCGCAAGTTAACAATGTTGTTATCAGTTATCTTAGTCATAACTACATTAAAAAGTTACGTTAAGTTTTTTACAATAATTATAAAACTGAACTATAAAGTAACGAATCACTCATTATACAGCCGCCAACATGACGCCGTCATCTTCATCATCTAAAGATGATGAAGATGACATCCGATCTAATCCCCATACTTCCAAATTTGTTCAGACGGAAGTTATGGTAGAATGAATAAACTCGCAAAACATACAAACATGAAACCATTACACTTCTTTTTAAACAATCAGATAAAAATGAGGTTAGGTTCGAGTGACACCTTCCAAGTTTTAAAAATGTTTTAGTTTTTTTTTATTGTAACAGTAAAATAAGGATATACTATATATATTTACATTGTAGTATGATGCACTTGATAATAATTTAATTCTTAATTTGCTATTGTTATTAAATTACCCTCATACCATATTTGCTCATCATGAAAAATTTTGTGTTGTTAAATAGTTCATTCAATATGATGTTTTAAATTGTGTTTTATTCTTGTTCCAGGATAAAGAGTGACAGTGACAAAGCGTTCAAAATTGGATACTTGGTGGCAGCACTGCTGTTGTGTTGTGTTAGTGTCACCAGGCCCTGTGTTTATGAACTTAAGGGGGACTAGCCTGAAAAATCAAGACTTTCAAGTATTCAAGGTAAATTTTAAGAGTTTGTGTTGTTTATTTTTTTTTTGCAACACCAATTTTTTATACTCAGACCTAATGTATTTATTGTAAAAAGGAACTTAATAGACTTGATATGCAACAAAATAAAGTGATTTGTAAATATTTTGGTTGTATAATTCAGTCACCACAACTATCTTCTTCGCTTACTATTTAAAAATGCATAGTCTAACTTAAAAGTATGTAAAAAATGGTATTTCGTGACGAATAAATCAACTTGATGTTTGATGATTATTATTTAACATGTAATTCTAAACTGTATTTCATGTTATTTAACATGAAATAGAGAGATGATTTTTAATTATTTAATCTATTATTCTTTTCATCTCGACTTACAGCTGTAAGTCAAGGTTAAAGAAATAATAAATATGGCAACACGTTGGGACGATGCAGTGAACGAGATTTCGTTGTATCAGCTATGGCACGAAATTGTGAATGCGTCTTACTACCACTTATTTCTGAACTTAATGTTTGCTAAGACGGGAAGTAGATTGGTTATGATAGTAATTCTGCCTGTTTATTGTTCTCTGCTGATGCGCGTGATACTTGCCACGCATATTACTTTTATGTTATACTCCCTTAATGATCCCAGTATTCCGAAATTATCTGAGGGAGTGTAGGTGTAATAAAACAACTTCATAGATAAAAATACCTATATTAAATCGATCCTTAGGTGAGATTTCAATTCCTAAACTAAAAAAATACTACACAATGTATTAAGTTTAATTAATCCAATATAATACAAATAATTTACAAGAACTTACATTCCTAGACACAACTAGGCAGTGAATTTATTAATTCTAGTGAGCTTGACATCGTGTGAATATTTAGAGACCAACGTTTGAAAGTGATAAAGAAATTGGAATAAAGCTTTAAACTAATATGGTCACTGTCATGTCCCCATTTCCGTAAGTATTAGTGTTCGAAAAAACGAATATGATCTGTCATGTTTTATTGTATAAATATGTTACGCGAATGGTTGATCACAGCCCTAATAGCCTGGTCGAACGACCAGGCAGTTTAAAAGCTTATACCTGTTACGTGAACGCTGTAATACCCGCAAACAAAATTATATGATAACGTATGCGAAATTTTACAAGTTATGGTTGGGTCAGACAGCAGGCGGGGCAGGACGGCGATGCGGCGTAAGTACCTACTGTGTCGTGTGTGATGTACTAGTCAAAAATAAAGAAATCAGGGCCATTGGGTATCCTTATCCGTTTGCGCTCAAGCTTAAGTATAACTTCAATGTATATAATTTAACTATGGTATGGTAACATTACACATTACGTCACTAAGTATATGGTTAACTTTGATCAGAAATCAGTATTATTTTCAAGTAATACGTTCTGATTAAATCAAAATTGCATTCCGTTTCTTGAGCAAGTGATGGTCGCAAGTATATCTATGTATGTATAAAACATCTATAAGAATATATGAATTTTGTCTATGTCTAATAACATGAATAATACCAAACAGAGGGAATACCTATAACTAGAGACGCGTCTACTATAGAGATCCTTTAAGGGATTACCTCCTTTAGATATAAAGATACCGCAAATATGAAAAGAGAATGCAGCTTAGGTATATTGTTTAAACTACTGATTTTAGAAAATAAAACTAACTCGAAAGATATAATTTTCTAAGTTACAACGTTTGTACCTTGTTTTATTTTATCATTTGGCGCATATAATTTTAACCTACAGGTTTTGGCGGCTACAGACGTCCTTGGGATTAAACTAGTTAAGAACTTAACTGGAAAATAAATCTAGTAATGTTTGGGTGTCTTTTTAGTTACGTAATTCCCTTGGATTAAACTATGTACTGAACTATATTTTGACTATATTTTAAGTGACATGAATTAATTTATGTTGTGTAAATAACCTTAATTTAATAAGTTTTACATAATATATGTATGTGTACCTATTTTGACAGGTTCGGTCAAACACAATGAAAATTTTGTGACTAAAGAAAATGTGAATGATTTGCAATGGTAACTTTAAACATGGTAAATTGCACTTAGGTTCATACAAGAGGTTTCCTATTACTTAAATAAATACGTTGAACTACCATTAAACTGTTGATGAATGATGTGACTATATTAATATTTTAATTATTTACAATTTGTCGTATTTAATTGCTATGTACTAATTAGGCAAACACAGTCGCCGTAGACAGAATATAACATACATTTTTTGGTAAATTTAACATTTTTTTAATCGTCTTTAATCGAATTCGATATCGATCGTCGTAAAATGTATATTTTTTCTGGGACTGTCTACCCTTAAAAGTTTACTATTCTCCGAAAGTCCACGTCACGCGTGGATCGGAACACCTCGTTTGTAGTATATAGTAGGAGGGTGGGGATTTAAACGGTTCACTTGGCGATGAACGGCGACAGGTCGGGGAAGTTGAAGTTGAGCGCGGGGCGGCGCGTGGGGCGCGCGGTGGGCCCGGCCGGCGCGCTGGCGCCGCACTGCGCCGTGCACACGTCGTCGCGCTGCACGGCCTCGCGCGGCCACTCGCGGTGCAGCTGCGCGCAGTCGGTGATGCGCAGCGACGCGCACTGAGCCTGCCGACCGTCAACGTGTTACTGAACATTTCGATAGCAGTACTCTGAATTGAATCTAATGTCATCTAAATGAAATATAAAGACTTTATATAAAAATACGAGTTTGTGTTTATACACTGAACGCCATATAATGAAGATGGGCTGGATCGTTCCCATCTACCATCATCTATCAGGGTATCTACGATTCAATAAATCCAGCGTTGAATGCCACATGTTAACGAAAATATAAGTCAACAAGTCATTTGTGCCACATCATCATAGTGGAATCTTTACGTCACCAGTGTAATTTTCATTTTTAGTTCAATTATTTAAATATATTTTTATCTACTATATTTCTGAACAAAAATAAAATAAAACCCTCTCTTACCCCTTCAATAGTACAGATGCACGAAGTGCAAGGCGATGGGAATGCAGAGTCTCCGACGGCGACGGAACGTCCAGCTATGAGGCAGCCCTGAGCTGAGCTTTCACGCCAAGCTGACAGGTCCATTTGTGGCAAAGAAGAGCATGGTACTCGGGGGTTTCTGGAATTATGAAGAACTTTTGGTGACTAAGGCTTCTAGCGATAATAAATAATATTAACATTAAAAACAATAATTGCCTAAGATCTGTATCTCACGACTCTAAGTAAACAAGATATAATTTAATTATTCACTGCCGTAGAGTGCAGAAATGCTCATGAAATTTAAAAGAGAAAAAGGACAGGAGATACCTGATAAATTTACGATATCTAGTACCAGTACAACAACTACATCTACGTGTAGTAGTGTTGTGTAAGCAATATGTACTTCAACTTACAAGAAGTTACTAGGCAAGTCAAAGGCTGCTCTCTGAATATCACCCGGGTGATCGAAGTTATCGCACAGCACCTTTGACAAAGTGATCTTTCTAATCTCTGCCAATTGTTGCTCTGTGAATCTTGCTCCAGGGTTGTCGTTTTCATACCTAAAAATTAAATAATTTATAATTTTACTATTAGGTGGGGCATACTGAAAGTCTCTGGATCTGGCCACTTACAATGAAAAAAAAAAACAATTATGGAATTCGAAAATGGGACTCTTTAGGAACAAGTTACTTTTTACTTTGCGAGACTGCCATTTATTTTTTGATTGGGACGTCATTTCGAAAATTGTGTGTCGCTATCATAATGAATTTTACTCGTGAACATGTTCGTTCAATGATTTTTTACAATTTTCGATGTATCTTAAGGCAACAAGAGAGTTGCCAGAGACTTCAATTGGCATTTGGTGATGAAGCACCATGTCGCAGCTCTGTGTATTAGTAGTTAGGAGAATTTAGACATGGGCATGATCATCTCCATGACAGGGTACGTAAAGGTTGGCCGGCGACTGCGGTTACAGACTCTAATATTGACACCGCACGACAACTAATGAAACTGACAAAAAAATTACTTGCCAGCTAATTCGTGCTTTGTTAGGCATTGGAATGAGCCAAGTGCAAAACATATTACATGTGCATCTGAAGGTTCGGAAGCTTTACACTCGATGGATACTGCATGACTTAACGGAGGACCAGAAACGACTGCGTGTCCGGTAGTGCCGTAAAATGGTAAAAAAGTTTAACGGAGGACAGTCATTGACTGTCTATAATATCGTGACAGGTGACAAAACCTGGGTGTACTGCTTTGAACCCGAAAGAAAAAGCCAGTCGGCAGAGTGGGTCTTTAATTTTGAAGATTTCCCCACGAAAGTTAAGAAAAATCGAACCATTGGTAAAAAAAGGGTTGCTTCTTTTTTCGGCAAATCAGGTCATTACACTACAGTATCGCTTGAACATCAAAGGACTGTGACTGCAGATTGGTACGTCAACACTTATTTGCCCAAAGCCTTAGAAAAAGGTCGCGAAAAGCGTCCTCGATGCAATATCTTTCTTCACCGCGATAACGCATCCTCACATTCCGCTAACCTATTTGAAGGCTTCAAACGTGGAACTGATGACGCATTTGCCTTACAGCCTGGACCTCGCACCCTGCACTTCTTTTGGTTTCCACAAATTAAAGACAAACTTAGAAGCACACGTTTTACGAGCCCTGAATCTGCGGTGAATGTGTTCCATGAAGCTATTGAAGAGGTCTTTAAAGAAGACTGGTCCAACTGCTTTGTATAGTGGTTTCAGCAAATGCCTTAATTGCGAGGGAATATACTTTGAAAAACAATAAATGTATCGTGTTGTATATCTAGTCTTATTTTTCAGAATCCATTAACTTACGGTATGCCCTAAGTACAATGCCCACGTGTAGGAGATGTGTCAAGTTATAGTTATTCTAAATATTATCAATTTTGATAATGTGCAGTTTCACAGCTACTGTTTGTTTTTTGCTAGATTCAGTGCAATAAAATGATAAGTTAAAAAAATTAAGAAGCTGTTCCAGAATAAATGTAGCTCTTAAATAGCTTATGGTTTACTCCAGTAAAAAAAAAAAATATTACCAAAATCGATCACACTTCCTTAGTTGCCTAAATTGGATGGCAATGATACAGGCGAAAGTGGGTCCGACAAGTCCACCTTGTAAAGGTCTCTCACTCATACCGCCTGGGAAAAGATCGATGTCGTCGACCGTAGCGTAAATCCTCTTGAACCTGTAATATCGTTACACGATGTTACTATTTTATGGTTTGGCGCTCATTTTTTAACATTTATTAAAACACCTAAATTGTTGTAATAATCTATGTATATTTTGGTATTTAATTTTATATATTAGCACTGTCTTCTTACTGCATATGGAAGCTCGTTAATGTCACGTAGAGAATTAGTATCAAATATAATGTTAATTTATATTAAAATAAAATAAAATTACAGACACACTCGCATATTCGCTGGCCTAGCTATTTAGGACTGGCAAAAGGTTATGAAGCTAGCCAGATTTTTATATTAAAAGAACCATACCTGGCAATAACTTCATCTGGGACTTCTCTAGCCAAATCCTCAAAAGTGGTAGCTCTTTTTAGGTTACAAAGTGCTCTGTAGTTGTTGTAACTTGGTATCCCATGGTCTCTAGCTCGCTGAATATTTAAGGCGATTAAATCAATGCCAGAGAATGGTATTTTTCGGTCTTCGAAAAGATGGTTAGTAACTTCTCCGGTGATGAACTGATCAAGAGTTTCCATAGGAGTAGAAGCAACACCACGCATTAGTTCGTCTACCATAGGCGGATGCTGTAAAGAACATGGTAAAAGAATTAGTTTTCCTCTTCACGCATTTGGTGTCCTTATCTTTGGTGTCCTTAAAATGCTTGATTTCGCTTGCCAAAAATTTGTCTCAAATCTGTATGTGGAAGACCTTAAATACTCACGTTCATGAACATGTCAACTCTGAAGAAACCGTCTCTGAGTAGAATTGGAGGTTCAACGGGTTGGTACTGTGGTGATAGACGAGGCAAATGAGGTCGAAGCAGAGAGTGACCAAAACGGAATGAGGCAGAAGCGAATTCCGTTACGATTGAAGGGTTGCAAGTGGGTGAGTACTCTTTGTAGTAGCCTAGAATATTTGAAGAAAAATGTTAAATAGTTTTTTGTATGAAGACACTCGTCAAAATAGAGGCTTTAAAATAACAAAAGAAGAAAAATTGTTTTAATTTTGTGTATCTTAAAAATCATTCTTTAATAAAAATACCTGAAGGCAAAAGCTTGAGTCCATATAAGTTGACAGCATTCCATGACAGCAACCTCGGCAGAAACTCGTTGAAAATAATGTGCGTCAAAGTGGCTGCGACAATGCGACGAGTATGTTCAAATAGTTGATCAGCGTCCCAATGAGGGTTTACTCCTCGCAGACCCTCTACGATACGGTTGTGATGACGGAGGAAAATCGTGTGTATAGCGGTGAGACCAGGCTGTTCTGAGGCACGACCATCACCTGGAATTCAGAGTGAAATTGTTAATAAAATGTAATCATTTTTCTATCTGAAAAACTAATACTCGTACAGGACAAATATCATCCTTATCATCAGTCGAAACGTCGACGTCCACTTTTGAATGTTAGGAAAAATATATTTTATGTAGACAATAATATCACTAATTACTAAGAATTTTGAAAAACTTGACTTACGAATATTATACATGTATATCGAATATCATGCGATAGGTACTGAATCTGATAATTTTCAATGAAAATATAAAATATAGCCACAGAAGAAAACAATCTTTGTAAATTAAATGTTTACTACATTCTGTTCTAACACTACCTATCAATTAATTTTAAGGTACTGAACATACTTTGGTCTTTAAATCATCGCCGCTGCAGTTATCAGTTAAGCTTACCAGCAATGAAACAGAATCCACTGGCAGATTTGCACTCCGGATGACTGTCACTCCTAGGCAGCAGTTCCCGTCCAGAAGTAGGGTTGGATGTGGCGTTGAGACGACCGTTGAAACCCCGCAGTTTACGAACAATGCAAGGATTTTCCCCATAAATGACGGACGCATCAATAAATGCCGTATTCTGGTTTACTTGTTCACGCGGACCTGTTGCGATATTTTTTGTTGGTCAATATGTATGTTAAGGTTGAAAATTTTAAAATGTCTACCACTTTATGACATTGGGAAATTATCTTTCAAAATTGTCGTAGTTATAGGTACATAATAACCAACCAAGCTGTTGTTGTCCTGGCAAACTCCTCATGAAAGGAAAGCAAAGACGCTCTCCAGAAGTCACGTTGACTTGAGGGTAGTAATGATCACCGATGGGCACTGGAAATGGGTTGCATTCAGGATGTACTTTCCGCGGAGATTCGCAGGAGCGACAGTCTGGGATTGACTCGTGGAAACCTATAATTAAATGGTCAAAGAGTTATAGAGAATAACTTGTAACACACAATTACCGTGGTAAATATTAAAAATACTTAATAGAAGATTGACCGGAGTGATTACAATTTCTAGCGACCAAAGAATAAGCCAGAGTCATTCTAAATGAATTTGTAAAAGATGAACATACTATATGAAGTTGTAGAATCATTGTTACCTTTATGTATGGGCGTCATGGTGAGTTCGTGGTCGACAAACTGTGCGAATTGCATTACCATGAGTGTGTAGCGGGTGTGCAGATTTGATATGTCTGGATGGATAACGGTAGACACTACACGCGGAGATGGTAATTGTGTTCCAGTTACGGAGTTGATGCGAGGACGACTTACGCCTAAAAATATAAAGTTTAAGTGTAACTAATTACTTAATCAGGTACTTTTAAAACTGTTCAAGGTTAGAAGTTTCAACTTACCATCTTCATAAACTGGTGGTAGCAATCTAGCAAATGTCGTTAATCCTTTGCCCAAGTTAGGGTTCCTCAAATTATTGCAATAGCCTGTATAAGTTCTGAAGGGGCTATCAGCATCGCAGGGCCCTTTGTCATCGCACTGCGGTTCCACGATAGGTCCAGAATTGTCATTACCAAGAAAGCCACTGATATCAACCGATTGCAAGGAGTCAACAAAGTCTGACGAGCCGAAACCTAGAGAGTCGTCGAAGATTTGGCGTTTGCGACGATGTCTGAAATACAAATAGGCATTGATGATACGAAAACATGGTAAATTTTATGCACAAAATTTCATTGCTCTTTTATGGATCGAGCAATGGCATACAGCAAGAAAGAAGATGAAGTCCTTAATCTATTTGGCAGTAAAACGGTTTTCATTTTCAATAGAAAGGAAAATTATAAGTATAAAAGGTTCTTTAACTTACCCGGTGCTCATGGTGTTGAGGAGTTCATTGGTTGCAAATTCCAAGAATAGGGAAGTATTGGCGAGTTTTAGAGCGTATTTGTTAGCCTTAGAAAATGACGCAGCTGTTCCTACTGGTGACTTTGGATCAGCTCCGCCACCTGAATCAGGATATTAAACTTAAGCAATATGGATTTAACGTATTTTCTAAGATGTGCTTTTATAATAAAATCCCAAATAATATTCAAGACTGAAGTATGAACAAATTTAAATCCGCAATAAAACGTGGCTTGTGCCAGAGGGCTTACTACTCCATTGTGGATTACATAGAAAACAAAAAATGCTTGGGATTAATTAGCGCAGGCTATTTCTTTCTTAAGTAAAAATGTGGTGTGGGCTAGTGTGTTTTTTTTTTATTTTTTATGTTTCACTTCATTTTCTCTTTTATTCGATTTTTTTTCTTAATCTTGTTTTCTCGTCATTGTCTTTTTATCTTTTAGTCCTTAATAACGGACATACTGGCACACATCAAAACAATGTTGTGGTATATTTAATAATGCCATCTATCTGTGAATTGCAAAAGAGTGGCCATGAGTTTGTTTGCCTTTTCTTCTCATAAGGCTCAATCGGAAACGGGCGGTTGTAGATCGGCACCGGCGTATCATAGATTTTGTATGAGTTTCATGTTTGTTAAATTTATTTGCTTACTATTTGACAAAACAGGGATTGTTATTTTTGTGTGTGTTGATCTAAGACTTTGGAGCCTACATAAAAGACTATTTCAAACAATTTGATTTTTTATGAAATAAAGAGAGTTTGAGTTTTGACTTACGAGATGCCCAAAGCATGTACTCTAAACGTTTTCTGTCAGCCATCTCTTGTTTAGCCTTTTCGATTGCAGTAGCGACCATGTCTTGAGATAGCTGTTCCGCTGCTTTAGCGCCACTTTCGTCCCTCCAAGCGTTAAGTTCTAGACGAGTATGTTGAGAGCAGTGTTGACCAGCATTTCTGATTAAAGAGGTGTATTTTAGGTTAGTTGTTCTATATTAAAATATAAAGTTTTATGTTATAATCAATAGGAGTAAAATCATCCGACACTATCCTAATGCCCCCCATCCCAAGTCCGCTTTTGTGAGACAAACTACTTTGCTTCAGCATGTATATACGAGTATTATACCTCTCTCTCTTGTTTACTATATAGAAAATGTCGATAAAGAACAGTTTCAAAGCGAGTGACGCAAGTAGTAGATATCTCTAACAATGAGAAAAAAAGGTCGTGTTTACACAGTATGAGACCTTGGTGTGATGTTAATCAGTCGTCTATCAAATGTTTTATATTTAAACAATATATTGGACTGTGGGTTATTTCTACGAAACCCGTTTTAGAGAAACCTTACAAAAACAAGGTCGATGAAGGGTAATGTCACCATAATTCTAGTTGTTTATTTTTATCATTATGTAATATAATTTAAAATGGTTATAATATATAGCTTGAGTATATATATACGTATAGATGTTATAAAATGGTGTAATTTACGTAATATAAATTCCATTAGTTAATTTGTCGCAATTCGCGTTAGTAAATGTGCCCGCGATCCTTAAATTATTCAAATGAGATGCAAACATTTTTACGACGTAGGTATTTCTGAAATAGTTCGTTCTCTAATTGGTGATGGGGCAAAGGCGATTGCTGACGTAAAAAATAGATGAAACTTATGGTCCTCACGCTATGAATTTTTTATTTCATGAAAATGATGATGATGAATATGATATGAATATGAATTTTAGTGCATGAGAACCCTAAACAAAAGAAATATCTACTAGGGTTTCTAATTTGACTATGTTGGTTTCTTATGGAACTTACCCAACTCGAGTTTCAAATGGACAAGCATCAAATGGATAAGCATCAAAATCACGAGGTCAGTTTAGTTTAATTTCAAATAAAGTATCGTTCTTTATGAAATAAGCGAGTTAAGGAAACGTTCACCTGTTATTTTTATATAACTACTTACAAATAAGGATCTTCCTTGACGAATGCTTTAGGCTGAATATTGGTGATGGATTCCTGTGCACCGCAGAGTAAACCAGCCAGAGACACCTTTCTGATAGCTCCAAGTTGGTCAGGCGAAAGAGACGACGGTGGCAAGTCGTTTTCATACCAGAATCTGATAAAAAAATTACATTATTCTTACAATTTAAGTATAACAGTGATAGAAAAAAGGAGTCGTTTGATAGAAGAAACCTACTAGGGATGAACAAAAAAGAGGAAGCTCTGCGCTCTTCTGTCAGAAATTTGAGAATGTGCAACATTTATTTCAACTTAAGGCTACTCATTAGAACTTACTCCAAAATATGACCTAAGCCCGATAGCGAAAAGTGTAAATTTATCGGTATCTGCGGTTTATAATCCGCATTGTAATATATACGAGTATATTGCTCGTATTGAGTCCATCCAAAAAAGGTTTTAAGATATTTGCAGTATAAGTGTAAGATCACGGATATGTGACTAGGTGTAAAATATATCATTTTCTGCTTTTAACAAATAGACGTACCTAATGTCTCCGATATAGTTACATCATGAAAAATCATTAACTGAGATATAGATAGCACGATTCTTCTCAAGAAAATTAATTTCAGGGTACCGCATAATTTACGCACTAGGATTAACCCCCCCCCCCCCCCCTTAGCAGTACCTCGAACACATACTCGTACTTAAAACTACCGCAAAAAAACATTTATCATTAGAGTCAGTATATCTGTAAACGATATGCATAAATTGAGTAGCGAGTTTCAGCTCTTCAGATCCAGACCTTCACATGTTAAAAAAATGCATGATTCGATTATTTTTTTAAGCCTAATGGAGGAGCGTAACATTTTCTTAGTCTAAGTTTTTCTTTTTTTTTGTTTCCAAAAATCTGTTATTTCTATTAGGTTCTGTTATTTTTCAAACGTTCTTTTTTGTTGTTGGTAAGTTATTTGGATTGGATTAAGAATACGGAATGTCACTACCCCAATTCATCCCGTGGGTGTCGTAAGAACCGACTAAGGGCGCAAAACAACGTAGGACACTAGCACTGCAAAAAGACGGAAAACTTGACACAAACCCTATACCAATCCGCCTGGCCAGCGTGGTATAGTAGGCCAAAACCTTCTTTCTAAGGAGAGGCCTATGTCCAGCAGTGGACTATTAAAGGCTGTTGATGTGATGTGATGTGATGTGAAGTTATTTGAACTATTATTTCACACTTGGGATCTATTGCGAATACCTGTAAATAGCTTCGTTGTTACATTATAATAATGTTTACCTTACGTTATTTACTGTTGGTATTCCGAACACAATAAAATAAAAAATAAAACGAATAAAATTAGAAATTAGAAATCTTGGTTTCAAAAACATTCATCTTTTGAGGTGGAAATACAGCATTTAACGCAGATACGAAGAAATTCTTTTCTTTCGCAAAAAATGAAAACCATTAAAATTAAGAAAGACAAGTTTTCATCTCTGTTATGCTTTATTACGTGAGTTATGCTTTATTCGAAAATTAATTCTGCACCTATATTGTTTCATTGGCAAATGTGAATAACTTGTAGGTATACATGTAAGGCATTTTACCTTGATTATGTTTTTTATTGATTATTCTTAATTGCGTTGTTTGAAAGATCTTTACATTCTTTACCTGTCACTCTTCTTCAAATTAGCGAACTGCAATGCCAGAACACAAGCAATGGTAGAACCGACAACAGCACCACTTGCTGGTTTTTCTATAGCGCCTCCAATCATCAATTCGATGTCATCAGCATTTCTTAAAAGATTGCATAAATTATCATATTTATTTATACACAACATTATATAACATTGTTATAGGTAAATAAAGTCGATTCTTACTTATACATGTCAGCCATCATCTCTTGGTGTTTTCTGTCAAAGCCCATGTTAGCTAAGTCGCCGAAAGTTTTCACATTCGCTGTAGGTTCGCACATTCTTAAAGTTCTAATGTATGAGGAGACTCCATGGTCGCGAGCTCGGTTGAGGTCCCATTGTGCAGACACAGGGAAGTGGGAAACGTGTTGAGCACTTGTGCGGACCAGTCTTTCTAAAGTAGCCGTTGAATTTGTCTGAAAATAATGATTATTTAGAATTGAAGGTACAATTTGGTCCGAGTTTTTAGTGGTACTTCATTTTTTTAGGGTTTTATTATTAATATGTACCTATAGGTATTTATTTCTTTTACATGATTCAAAATGTTATCTCTTTGAAATGTGTCAAGTTTCCTTCACGATAGTATATATATATATAATATATCCTATATTCGTTTAATTAGTAAGTCTCGAATCCACTATCGCTTAATCCGAAGTCTGTTAGTTTAAATATGGACGGCAATTTTATGTAGTTTTTTGATAGTAATTGAGATTTATTGTACTGCACTTTTTTCCACACTTCGTTCTTTTCACGACTTTAACATCAGCATGTTAAAATCGTGAAACGAAAAGGTTACGGTTGTGGTAAAAGATGGATTTTTTAAATATGTTAATGATTTAATAATTCGTATCACTTTCGCCAACATTGAAACAAATTATCATATACTTTACGTGTAAACACTGATCATGACTTGTATGCTTACCAATCTTTCGTTCATCATAGCGTGAAAGATAGGAGCCACAGCGACCAGCTCAGAATAAACACCGGCGCGGTTAGCACTAGAATATCCACGCCAGAACCCTAATGAAGTCAACTTTAGTTCTGCTTTCGCCATACCGACCTAGAAGTTGAAAAAAAAAGACCTGTAGAACCATTAAAAGGCTATCAAGACAAATTATTATTATTAGAAATAGGTATGTTCTGTGTCGCTTACCTCTCCTAACAAGACTGGTAGGAACTCATTGTAGGTAATGTGCTGGATGATAGCGGCCATTGCTCGCCTGGTTTCTAGGAAAAGTTTGGTGTCATCCCAAAACGGGTTCAACGTGTAAAGTTCTCCAGCGATACGGTTGTGTTCAGTCATCAATATTTTGTATAATGGTGCCGTAGGAGATCCATCTTTGCATCTAAAATAGGGGTGAATATGAAAACTACAATTTTACATCGACATTTGTAAAAATATTTCTTAATTTATGGCGTCATTTATCTCGATGAATTCGATATGCATTGATTAAATATTTGTCTTACTAAATACAGTAACTGTCTTACAGTGGAATGTTTCTAAAAAAAAGTTACTTCGCAAGAATCTACTTCCTGATATATCTACACGACCTCTCCTACATCTTGATTCTCAGGATTTTATACACTTGCCAAGTCAATAGCTACTAATGGAGATATGTATGTATGCAGGCACGAGATGGAAATCTCAAGGTTCGCCTGACAGCCAATTTGCATACAATCCATTTTACTACAACCTGTGGATACAATTTGTTTGATGCTGAAGAGATACGATTTGTTTGATCGCTATAGTTAGGAATGTAAATTAAATCATTTTTTTAAACTAAAATATCATGAGCTCATAGTTTTTCAAAAATAAATATTACCAGAAAGATATGTATAAATGTTTGAAAATAATTTATTGACTCCAACGAATAAGCTAAGCCCTTTAAAATGGGCTTGTTAAACTAATCTAGTTCCTAGTGCTGATTACGTTTTTATTTTTTTGACTAAACCTGAATGTGAAGACAATGATTGTTGATATGATCAGGTATGACTAAAGGCCTAAAACTGGGGCAAAAGTTCGCATATTAAACTCAGTTTCTATAATATACTATAAGTATATTTGGTATTGTATGGGATTTCGTGATGCAAACGGGTTACTTCTCTGTCACTTCCGTGTCATTTTTAGACCCTTTTATATAAACCAATTACGCATGCACTTCGAGGGAAATACGTTTGTACTACCTACTTGTAAATATACTTTCGTTAGTATTGTATTATTGTACTAAATATTGTAAAAAGATGAATACCATATTGAAACTTCTTGATTTGAAAAGATTGGAGAATGATATAATACTAGAAACACAGTAAGAATTAGGGGAGGTTATATTTCAGCCACTTATTGAAGCTACCGCGTTATTAAAGCGTTTTTAAAACAGTAAATGATTTATTTATAAAATTTTGAACAAAAATAAAACTGCAACGATATGGATTTAAAAAAGAAGATCTAATGTATAATAAACTAAAACTGTCCTGAACATCAGTACGTTAGTACGTTAGTAGTAGTACTGTCAGTACGTTAATAAAAGAATCATTAAAATTGTTTTATTATTTTAAAAATCGCACTAAGTGCCACCCTATAGAACCTCCTTTTTAGAAGTCTATGAATAATTAAATAATCGAATGAACCATCAATAGTTAATTGAATTGGGATGTAGTCAATTAGTTAAGTAATTAAATGACATTTGTGTTAATATTTAAAGACGTCCGAGGTCGACAAGTACGCGAATTTGATTTCCGTTCACTGCAAATATTTATTGGCAATATTTCTCTATTTGCATTTATCTGGGGCCAAAGTTAAAACAAATAAGCAATTGATCCACAGTTGAAACACCTTTTCAAACTCATGCAGTCTTCGGTGCCATAGACGATAAATATTATGATCCAACATAAATCAATGTTTGTTACTTACTTCCGACATGAATCTAGGTCAAGCTTGCCCGCATCATAAAGCCTCAATGAACGCAGCTCTTTTTCTGAACTGCCGTATAATGAGGATCCGTCGAGGAACGACGTAGCTAAGTTCATCTGTTCACGTTGTTCTGTATGGAATAAAGATTTGACATTATCTCCATGTTGGAACTAATATTGATTCAAAGTGGAAGTGTTCTACAAGTTACGCTAATATGTGGACGATAATGCTGAGGAGTTCGTTTTTGTGATGAAACGCGCTAAACTCTATACTTATCATACGCATTCGAGATAATGTTTTTAATTTGATAAAACAATTTTTGAAAAATGTTTGAGAAAGGCTTGTTAACGACGACCGATGGTCTTGTGACCAATGATTACCATTCACATTTTATTGTTGACCATCACCTGATGGTAAGGTGAGACGATACATTATAGGAAACAAACGCTTAACAAGTATGATAAAATCAACTAATGCTAGGTACTATTACTAATAAAGTAATATTTTTTAAGGTATTAATATTTGTTTGTAAATTGTTATTTAATATAAGTAGGCTGTAGCATCATAATATTGCAGTCCACACTCGAGTCTGATTATATTAACGATGACGAAATGAATATTAAACTAAATTAGACTCTAACCGCTCGTGTGACCAGGTTTGGTTAAGACCGACTCGCCTACGGTCATATAACTTGCCATTCAACATTTTAACTACGTGTCAAGCAATAGATTATGTCAACGTTACAAAATTTAAATAACTTCGTCCACTGAAACAAGTTGTTTGGCCACTTCCTATATACGATTACATACCCATATGCAACTTTTCAAACGAGTTAGGCCGCTCCAAAATTAATTCGAAAACCTAGTTATGCATGTTCAAAAACAAAATCTGACGTTTTATCTACAAACTTGAACGTTTTAGAGGGTAAGTCACTGGTGTGTCGCCATTTTTTGCTAAGTAACCTGTGTGACATTTAGTAACGAGTTATTTTGTGAATCTTCGGACAAAAAAAAACCTTTAAGAAAAGCTTGGGTGAATGTGAGTAGGTTGAAGAGTTTATTAGCTGCAGGCGGCTCCCATTTACAAGATTGTAGTTGATCAAATTAATAACATTTGGATACATTAACCATGTCAGTTCGACTTTAGTAAAGTTCTCTTCCTCCAAACCTTCCTTCCAAACTATTTTGTGGTCGACTTTAAGCTTTCTACGATAGGGCTGAAATTCGGTTTATACGCGGAACGATTGCCATCAGACCTCCACAACCCAAGCGATATTAAAGTTCTATCTGTTCTGTTTAGGGTTCTAAATACCCGTAACGATTACCACAGATGTTCGTATGGCAACCGGGTTTAGCCTCTTCAAACCTTTGCTCGGTTCTGCTTGACTTTTTCACGCACAATAGACAAATCAACAAACACACTTTCGCATGCAAAATCTTTGTAAGGATTACAACATAATACCTACGCACAGCAGAGTAAGCAGTTAGGTAAGAATTTACCTACTTTCTACAAAATTATTAACAAGTAGATGTGCCTAACATTAAATGAAAGGGTAAGTCAAATTGAATGACTTTCATTCACTACAAACAATTTGCAGTGAAAAAATGTTCTCACGTCACAAACGAATAAATTAAGATCATATAGTAGTGGTTACGATTAGCGATTGGTTTGTTACGAAGAGTTGGAAAAAGAAAATGCTTCCACTTTGTGGCTTCAACTATGGAAGGAAGTATTTTATTTGAAATTAACATACCAAATCCACAAGAGTCAATGTTTCTCGTAGGGGCAGACCGCATGTACTCGCAAATGGCTCCTTTGCAATCCTAGAAAGAAAACAGTCAATGAGCACTATAACAAGTTCGGATCCGATTCGGATTGTCAGGAGAACATGCTTTCGTGTTAGATAGGCCCAATGGTGGAATTAATAAAAATCTGCTCTAAGCAACATAGGTGTTTAGTTATAATAATAATTATGTGATAATCAAGTAATTTTTTTGTAAGATTGCCTACAACTGTTGAAAAGTTAAAAGTATCTATCTACATAGAGCCTACCTGCCTAGATTTTCACACCATTTTGAACAATAAATTGTTATTCCTTATCTAATTAAATACGTTAGATACGTTGTGAATTTAATGTTGATTAAAATTGCTCTTTACAGCATCATTAAAATTAATATTTTAGAAGATTCCCCGCTTCGAGCCGTACGTCTCCACGGAGCGTGTGGCAGGATCGGTTCGGGCCTATTATTATTGCATATAAAGATGTCCCGTGGTATAGTCCTATCATAATAATAGTATAATGAATTATTCCACACTGATACCACATTAGTTACATTAGTAGTATCTATATTGCACCCGTGCGAAGGCGGGGCGGATCCCTAGTTATATATAAACACAAGTCGACGATTTGAATAATTCTATCGGAATGCTGTATTAGGTATACGTATTAAATTAGCACACTAGTTATATTAAATGAAGATTTTTACTTGATACTTGATATTTTATACATATATGGTATTTATATAGATATTTACATTGTATGGTAATTACATTGTTCAATATATCTTATACGCTATGTTTGTTACTTTTTATTAAAGAACTCTCGAGATTGGGGTGCAACAGGTTTGTAAGTTGATAAATAAGTTATTGCTTTAAATTATTCATCAAAACATTGAACAATATAAATCAGTAAACAGTTGAGTAGGTATTTATTAAAAGCAAACATGGTTTTTAAAATGTTTCACACACGCTTTTTATATATTTTTACTGTTTTTTTTTTGTGTCATTTAAGGAGTAGGTATTAATTTACCCTTTAAAACAATTTATTTTACTAATTTAGCATTTTTAATGACCGAGATTTTTCCATCTCATCTTTATGCTGCTCCGAATAATTTATGTCACCCGGATTCATTGTTCTCGAGTGTATAAAACATATGATATGATTTTAGTGTTCAATAAGTAAATGAACTGTGTATATACCTACATATTACATTCACAGACACAAAATAAACTTTCAGCTGATCACATATAAAGATATATTTATCATAGAGTAAAGATTAGGTATGTCTAACGCTGTTGTGAGCATTGTGTAACAAAGGGCCACTTTGCCCAATATAATAAAGGTAAATCGTGGATCATCATGGCACCGGACAGAAAAGTTTGGTTACACTTTACAGATCTACTTAAATTATATTATATGCACTGACAGCAACGTAAAAATTACGGATTTTTCCACCATTTTCACAAGATATTTTTTTTTTTTAGTTTATTTTTATTATACTTTCGAAATTTCTGAATAGACAAAATAGACAGAATTTAAAATTGGTGGACGATAGAAAACACAAATTCAGGGTGTGTGTCCGAATGGTTTATTTATTTTAATACTAAAATACTCAAATCTAAACTTAAAAACTTTACTGTATATTCCTTTATGCATAAGCATTATTTAATTCAAAAACATGACATGAAATATTCAAACAAAAGAAACACTTAGAATCTTGGGAGTGTAACGAGTAAACTACTAAACCGACTTTAGAAAAGATATTATCAATTCGACTGATAATTTTTGTACGTTATGCGAGATTTTGAGAAACCGTAAACCGTTTTTCATATTTTTTTATATTGGTTATATAGTGTAGTAAATTTGAAGAAAGTATTCAAAATCTAAAGTCAAAAATTAAGAGATGAAAAAAAATTACTTTTTAAAATTTGTCTTGTTTTAGGCATATTGGAGTCAGAGATACTTTTCAAAAATTAAATATATTGATTTCCATCAAGTATCACACAAAACAGCTGAAGGATTGTATACAGTTATATGGAGTTTATAGCTGCGCTAACATATGTATAACGAATTCACTGTTGTACAATTAAATTAAAGGTTTCGCCATCTTCTTAAATAATTGCTTACAAGAGCTTCACAATAAAGTGAATTATATACGCTAACTTTTAGCTTGGAAACAATAGGTATCGGTTAATTTGACAATAGAGGCAATTTCCTGTTCAACTGATACTATGACATGAAAGGTGAGCCCATAAGGAAATGAGAGATCGCCTGTTACCTCATGATAGCTTTCACTGCGACTACATAGCTACAGAACCTTTTTATACGACCCCACGAGTTATCACAAAGACCACAAAACGCACCTTAATCGTTTTCATTCATAGTAAATTTTTAATGTAAAATCATGTATTTAAACCAAATAAATATGAATAATTAATACTGAATGTTTGTTAACAATTTTAATAATTACACAATACGTATTTTGGTATTGGTGTTGACCGCTTGAACTCAATACCGTGTCACGTGCTTCATTCGGCAAGGTTAACTGAATAGTTATCCATCCTTGTTTCGCGTAACATTTCAATTTTGGACAAAAAGTTTGGATCATCATCGTAAAACTCGTTAACTTAAAGTAAAAAAAAACGTTTACTATTTTTACATATGCATGTATTATTACTTGTTTTTGTAAGAACACGGTACGTGGCCGATTAGGAGCACGTAAGTACGTATCCTTTTAGATTCGGCCATTGAGGTCCAAACACTGGTATGGCTACTGCTCTTTTAATTAAATATTTTATATAAGTACATATTTCAACATATTTGGGTGGTAATTTGCACTACAACTGCTCTTAATGACTGACATAATACAACATACATTTGTTTATGCGATTACTTTGGATATGATACGAGAATACGAAAATTTACACAGATTTCATAATCCCCATTAGTTTTTGTACATTGATAACTGAGAAAAGTGGATGTCTAGATCAGAACGGTCCTGGCGCGAACCACTGAATAATACCGTTGTTCAGTGTTTTGTGCCACAATGGTTCGTGCCAATGGCACAAATTACAACATTACAAAATATATAATATTTTTAATCTCGTAGTTTTGTTAACCTGTTGATTTGATTTTACGAAAAGATATTTGTACAATATGCAATCTTAGTACAATAAATAATAAGATTAATAAAAATGTTAAGGAAAATGTTTTTTGAACTTTTTCTTAGGAACATGGTTTTCCTTTTAGTTGCAAAATTTTTAAAACTATTATTAACTTTCATGTACCTACATCGCAAAATATTTTCATCATCCATAGCAACAAACTGATGTATCTTATGATACTGATAATATACTGATGTATGTTATTTATCGTACATAAAACAATACCAATGACTTAGGTAGGTAAAAATACAGAAATACTCACACAGCCAAAACCGACTCAACCGTCTTGTGTCAGTTCCTTATATTACAATGCACATAGTTAGTATATATTACAAGTTGTATCGGAAGCCTTGAGAGATTATACCTCGGTATGGATATTGATTTTTAGAATGTGTATTTCAAAAGAGATGAGTTTGAACTGTACCTTAATTGTCAATACGGTAATCAGTGATAATTGTCTGTTGTGTGTAGGCCAAGTTCAATTTTAAAGAAATAAATACCTCACATACATTGAGCAGAGGAGGTAAGTATCATTAGACGGATGATTACGTGCGCATTGAATAGGTGTCATGTTGCGCCACCATCCGTACCTCTTAAACAAAAAGCATGCGTCCGCTAGCCTTCACAATATACACGATGTGTGATTCTGACTCAAGCTTAAATACGTAATGGATTATACAATCCACATTACGTATTGCAATTGACTAAACGAATACATTGAAGAAGTACATATTTTGTTGGTTAATATAAACAGTTTAGTTCAATTCATTCATAGAAATCACTGCATTACTCGTATTAGCAAAATCTTTATAAAAAGTTCGATTTAAATAATCGGTTAAACGATGCGTGGTTGTACTTTTTTAGCTAATTTTTGGCAATCCTCGTCATGCTGCTAGAGAATAAAAACCCGAATCAAATCCATTAAATAAGAGTTGGATGACCTTTTAATTTCTAAATAATAAATAGTTAAATTGGTCTTATTAATAATTGGTCTTGGACTGCCCAAGACTGGGATGGTTGGCGTTCTTTTGGGGGAGGCCATCGTTCAGCAGTGGACGGCGATAGGCTGATGATGAAATAGGTAAATTGGCAAAATCGATATTCGTAATGTAGAGGAATCTCTTGTACGTTAGACAATGTTGTTGTTTCCCCAATACGAGTATATATAGATGGCATAAATAGTATACATGTTTGAAGCTTAACTCAATTTGAAATGTTAAGTATAAAGCATGTAAAAAAAATGTTGTCCAAATTATGAGCATGCGATACAGGCTTAAGTAAATGGTTTTCCAACAAAATGGAAGGAGAATGCTTACTGTTTTTGAACAAGATACGCTTATTAGAGTTATTGTCAAAGTACTTTTAGTGTCCACCACTGAGTTGCTTAATAATCACTCATGATTCATTAGTAAAAATGAAAAATAAAATCACTACAGCGCCTGTAAGTTTTTATCATTATTTGTTATAGGTTAATGATATAATACAATCAAGTTTAGTGCAAATATTTATATGATACAATAGTATTTGAGTAATCGTAATAATGTGCTCTGACTGTTCCTATATGTAAACAATTGGTAAGATTTTCGATGTTTTATAACAAATAATGTATGCTAGGATAAGTTAAGCTATAAATTGAGCTTTACAATATAACTCACAATATTTTATAATGTTGTTATTATCAGAAAAAAAAAAAAAAAAAAACACCTTGTTCCCATTGGCAGTGCTGATAAGATCATCCATCAGGAGCTGTCCCCAAGCAGCGAGCATGCTGGTAACATAGTCGTGGTCTGCGCTGGCAGTCAACTGGGTTGCGGCGTGGACTGCGAGTGAAGCTTCAGGAAGGTGCGGTGGTGATAGAGGTTGATATATACCTATAAGAGACGAAAAGCGTGCCTCAATATCAATTTCCGTAAAGCACATATCGTAAAATGTAGTAGGCTACCACATTAATGTAATGTTTCTTAACTTCTATAATTAAGCTTAATGTTTATGCTAAAAATGGGTTTACGTCGGTATCGTAATGGACAGATTTGAACCCCTAAGCGCTTCTTTACGCGCTTCTACTCACATAGATTACGATTCCGGTTTTACAATTAAAATTCAAAAGCAAATCTGTATTCTATATCAATAGTCTCTCAGTTCTGACAAATAAAGCAATACATTAAGTTTTTAAATATTTTGGATTTGCACACAAACTCCATATAATCAAGATTTGACTGTATGAACTCGTGAATTACATGGTATGAAAATAACTCTTAATATGCTTGATGAACTGGTACCTAATTCTTTGAAAATTATAACGTGACGCATGCACTCGTGGTCTCATGGTATTTTCTTTAAAGTTAAAGTATATTTATTGGAATTATTATTTTTTATAGTAGCAGTAGATATAGAGAGCAAGCGAAATTAGTAATGTTATTTTTATTATTTTCCTCTTACGAGCTTAAATTACATTTACACACACAACGACAGTAGATCAATTCTATAATTAACTGTATTGTTCATTTGAAGGTATGTACTTTACTAGCATTACTTTACTTTACTTTAAAAAAGACAACTCCCGCATTAGGAATCCTGTGTAGGCATTGTATCCTGTGTCGCGGGGGACTTTACAAACATATATGAAACGGAAACAAAGAACACCCAGACTCAGAATAACAATTTATGGATCTCACAAAGTGTTATCCAACAAGTGTTTACCATTTTAAAAAAAAAAAAAAAAAAAAGGGTTTCCCATGTGGGGCCGTTTAAACCACTACGCCATTCGTGCAGTCAATTTGTGCACAGTGCAGTAAAAAAATTGCCTTTTGTTTATGATGAACTCGCTTCCGTATTTTGAGCGAGATAAATCGCCCACATGTAATGAATGAATATCTTAAATGTTTTCTCAGGCCCATATACATGTATACCTTATATTCGGTTTTCTTTTACAACGTTGCCTCTGACATTGCTCGGATTACGACATTTAGAGATCTTATGACTCTAATGATTCGTGATTCAAAAATGAAAGCGATGTTCAGATATGGAGTTACATTGCAATAAGAACTATGAATTTATAAGTAGATATGAGGTCATAATTCGAAGGCGTAAGAATTTATTTCGTCTTTTCTCACATAAACATGTATTGTAATGTTGGGCAAAATTTACGTTTAAGAGTTACGTTCTATTGAACATAGTGATAAGAACAAATGTAAGGGATTGTATAGTATTTGGTGGTTTTCAAACAGAAGATAAAGGATACAAGCTATCTGCCTGGCAAGTTTTATACCAATTTTGCATCTACTGCGAAGAGGTTATATGAACCTTACGCTAAGGAATTTTCAGAATATTAGCAAACATATCAGATTTATCAGGAATATACTTATACTGTACCTATACTAAGTAGTTCCTAGTACTAAATACAAGATCCGATGTGCCACTCTGTGATTGCAATAGGAAGGATCCGGGAACTGATGTTATTAAGACATCCGGTCCCCTCCTTTATTTTTATTTTTTTCCCTCGGATACCACCTATCGGTGGCATGTCGGATTCGAACCGACTAAAACCGTACGCCGTCTCGGGTACTAATAGCCGGGGAACCAGGTATACCCTAGAAAGGAAGTCCCTGGTGCCCCAACATACCTCGGGCCATCTACAGACGAGTAGACGACCCCCCCCCCGTGTGGGAACCCCATGTTCTGTCTGCTCCCTGAAAGCGAGCGCGCTTCGCAACGCGCTCGCCGCCACCCCGGCCTGCTTCTGCTAGGGTGACAGATGGCCTCACCTGTCACCCCCAGGCCTGCGCTTATGGAGGACGGAGGTCGTTCTGCGACCTCCGTCCTCCGTCCCCGGGTCTCTCCGCCGCCTCCTTCTGCGAAATGACGTCTTCGCAGAAGGATGCGACTGTGGTAAAGCAACTGTCACTACCGGCCATAACTCGTATGACGGCCGGTAGCGAAAGATCCTCTCCAATAACTCCAGTGAGGACCCGACGCTGCGACAGCCAGCGAGCCTGCGATTGCCAGCGTATGCTGCGCCGAGTCCTCACTGCAATCTCAGTAATCACAGGCGGGACTCAATTCTTTAACAGCAACTGAGTGCAGGTACTTCCCGAAGCAGCCCTGCCCGGAAAGGACCTGCGTTAGTCAGAAGGACTGGGTCCCATGGTATCGCCCTGCCCACTCACAATTACCGGCTGCAGTGCCTCCACGGCGGCAAAAACAGCACGTGGAGCTTCCAGCTGGGACGACATCGTGGCTCGACGAGCGGCCTGACGCCACTCTCGCACTTTTTTGAGCGGGGCCCGACTGCCGCTAATCGCCCAGAACTCAGTTGTCCGTCGATATACTTCGGCGAGCATTTCCGCCTTCAAATCCCAAGTGTTAATTCCGGCCAGCGCACAGGCCACGTCCGCCGACACGGTTCGGTAACCGCGTATGGCTCTAACTGCCAGTACCACCTGAGATTAGGTATATGTCTACTCAATGTTATTACAATTTGAAAAAATGGTGGGATGTTGTGACGCTTTGATAACAGAAATAAAAAGGTGAATGATTCTGAATTCTTTCTCCCAAAAGGGTTGTTTTGTCTTTGTTGGGCGCCAAAGGAAGAACATCTGTTGGCCTTAACCTAAAAAAGACATGCAGATAAACCACAGCCTTCTACTCGTATGAGCAAATGTAAGAAGAGTCCTACCGGAGGACAAGGATGAGTCCGTTTCTTGTCGTATTAGATTACAGTACAATAAGACCTGTCGAGGCGGGTATGGCAGTAGTAGGCACCGGCCTTGTTGCATAGTTGCACTGCGTTTTATGTTGTGTTGTATTTAGAGGGTGATAAGATATTGAGTTTGTAACACGTGTCCTAAATCAAGTAACTGATTTATAGTGTTGGCTGCACGGATGGCGTAGTGGTTTAAGCGGTCTCCTCCCCGCTTCGCATATAGCACTGAGTGTTGTGGGTTCGATACCCGCATGGGACTTTATGTGATCCACAAGTTGTTGTTCTGAATCTAGGTATTCTTTGTGTCCATTTCATGTGGGTTTGTAAAGTCCCCCGTGACACAGGATTAATTCCTAGTGCGGGAGTTGTCTTTTTTTTTTTTAAATAAGAAAAAAAGTGTCACTTACCGTCAGCATAATGCGGTGGCATTAGTCTAAGAAATACATCTCCTCTTCGTCCCCAAGGTCTATGACGCACATTATTGCACTCGCCGCTTGCACTGCGGTACTTGCTTGGAGGGCACGGGATTCTGGTAGACTCGTCCTCATCAGACGAACAATTATGTCTGTGGAATATAAGAAGATCATAAGAATCTATGTCAATACATTCTTCTTCATAGTTAACAAAATAAATGTTAACGTTAACCGTTGTTAATATAAATGGCTTCTATTATCATAATAGACGGTTTAATTTGTTGTATCTATTGTGGTTTAGTGGGTTTACCCTGTCGTGATTTCCTTTGATGTCTTCCACATGGCTTAACTCAGCTTACTTGTACCATATTGATCGTATCAGTACAACAGGAAGTTTTAATATTATTCTACTACTAATTTATTTAAAAGGAAAACTATATAAAACATTATGAAACTAGTAAGTTGAGGTGTAGTGGATCAGAACTGTTGTATGTAATATCAGAAGACGTCATAAGACTTCACCAAAAGTATTGTGTCGAGCATAATTTTTTAGCAATCTATTAAGTTCTTGGAATCACGACCCGAAATACGAAAATGAACTATGGTTTTCCTCATGAGTTTAACTTCATCAAAATTAAATGGTCTTTTCTGAGAGCAAATTCTAGAAAATATTCAATTCTAATCGGTCTAGCCGTCTTTGAGTAATCTGAAATCATAAATATTTCGAAATACTGAGAACTTCCAACTTTTTTAAAGTCAGCTGAAATGACGACAAACCGACATATTATACTTATTTAGATAAGTATAATATGCTTTTAAATTAGTTACGATCCATGTTATATTTAAATTAGCATTCCATATTGGTAATAATTTATATAATTTAATCTCTGCATATACTCGTTAAATATGCCAAACAAAGTTAATACGAGTATCACAGGCACAGATGAAATAAAAGCAGTTTCATTATTTTAAATTATGTGAAGAAATTGTGAAGGTTTAGAACCCAAATTGTGGACCAATAAATTCTTATGATATATAATAACAATGGTAATATTTAATTTGGAATATTGAATTGAATATAAAAACCAGACCGCTGATATATATACTTGTAACTTACTAAACACATATGAATACATGTTTTATTGTATCCTGGGTGAAATTCGAATATATGACCTCCAAAACACAAACAAACGAGTCATATTGCTATACTTATTTATGACCGTTTACTTAAAAGATTTAATTATTTGGACAACTAACACAAAATTTTCGTTGTTCATTGTCAAGAACTTGGGACGTGTTTTTATTTGTTTCCTCTTGGTGTGGCAAGATATGTCGCAAGTAACCAAGAAGCGAATAGTTGCAACGCATCGTTAGTTAGTGTGTTGCCTTGTCTAACGCCTTTGTATTTTGTATTACTATCATTAACTTACTTTTAGTTGAATTTTCTAGATTTAGTTTTACTTTAATATCTTTAATTGGATATCTTTGTCTCTTTAAAGTAATCTATTTGTGTTGTAAATTTCATCTTTATTCGCTTTTTTTCGTGTTACAATAACAAAGGCTTATTGCAACTCATAAACACGTACACACTCACAAGTTTCGTAATTAATTATCATAACAATGTAATGAATAAGCCTTTTAGAGCAACGACTTTTTATGTTAAGAGTAACCAGTTTTAAGTACCTAAGTCGGTGTGCGTTGATGTCTTTGCAAAGTAGCGAAACTCAAAAACAATGCTATATCTGAAAAGTATTTGTCTAATTTACTATTAATAATATAAAAAATACACTTACGCGTCGCTAGCACCTAATAAGAACCTCTTCTCTAAAGCTAGTGCTTCACTGACAGTTCTTCTTAGGTCACTGGGTACTGCTTGAACATTGCTCTCTTCTAGTTTAGTTTTCTGTGCATTGTTCTGGGCGGTTAGCACAACCGCAAAAAGCAGTAGACTTCGTCGTATCCTGCAAAATAGAAATAGGTCATTTTAGTATTATCATATAAAAGTCACAAAGAGATACTGTGTCAACGGTACATACACGCGAAGTAACCAAATGTTGAAGTGAAATATTCCTATATGTTTTAAAAGATTAAACGTAAAAAATCTTTCAAACCACTATCTAGACGAACAAAATTGCCTCTGTATTGTATAACACTATTAATGATAAATTCTTTTGTAAATTTATTTTTTCATTAATATAGCTTGAAATCCAATTAGTGTTTACAATTTAATCTTTGGTTACAATTAAAGAACCATTTTCAGGGATTGATGACACAATTATAACTTAACACGGTTAAAAACACTGTAAATATCAACAAAAAATCTGGGAAAATATTAGATACAACAATATTTCCCAGTGAGCCCATGCATTTTGTTGAACGTTAGTATTAATATGTCGTTAACCTACATGTGAGACCGACGTCATGGGTTGAGTTCAAGGAACCATACATACAGAATACACATAATATATGTAGAAGTAATTTATGTCTGCAAGGTATTTTGTATATTATGACGACTATAAATAGTACCTGCTTGTTCTCGTAAACGTCGCTTTAAGTATCACCGATAAAACATGTTTTAAATTTTCGCGTTACATGATATACCTACTATTACAGGTGACAAACTGACTTCTACTATGGTTAATCTGTTCTGAACGAAAGGTTAAATAGTTTCAAGGCACCCGAACTATCGCTGCAACCACTGTACACTTATGCGTAAAAAAATATTAAGAAACAAAATTCAATAAAAATATTTAAATAGATCTACTCATTTAGCATTCCTTTGTTGTTCGTCCGTCTGCTTGGTTACTTAATACCTGTTTATCACGGGGAGATTACATGCAAGCTCACATAAAGTAAACAAGCTACAACTCCTTTGAAGTAAAAGAATTTAAGCATTACAAAAACAATTTTCCAAAAGGTATACTTTAATATTCACAAAGTCATCCATTTAAATCTTTAAAACTAGCCTCAACACGAGTTCAAGAAATAAGCAAATTTTTAATTAAGCAATTAGAAAAAAAAATGAAATTGTGAATTTCTAACCTTTAATGTATTTTTGCTTAACTCTTAATCGACCGTGACGTACACCGGAAATGTAAGCTTATTTTACTTAACCACAAAGTTAAGTATGACCTTGTTAGAACAATGCTCGGTTTTCGCTTAAAATGAATTGCAGTAGCTAATTAGTCTTGAGATTATACTCATAATTTACTCTATGTATACAGAATATATACCTAGCAGAATTTAATTATTGTCCTCTTAAGTATTATCTTCAACATGTCTTTTACTACATTTAATACAACTGATGTATTCCCAGGTGTAAAATTATCACCGTCTTATATTATGATTGAAATGAAACGATTATGATCATCGCGAGAGCTTTAAATGCGGAAGATAAACCACATATAAAATATGCGTACAGCTTTATCAATGCTGTAGGAAGTGATGCCCATGAGAGTATAAATAAAACCACAGGAAAGCATGTAACCGCAAGTGTACTTTCGTTTTTATCAATCATATCTCAAGTAAGTATTTATTTAAGACAGTTTAAACTACTATCTTAGTAACAACAGACATTTCTGGTGTTTCATACCTACTGCCATTGATATATTGCTTTAACTCAATGCCTTGCCTACTGCGCTTTCAGTCCTATTTAAGTAGTTTAAGCATGTTTAAATCATCATCATCATCATCAACAGCCTTTAACAGTTCACTACTGGACATAGGCCTCTCCTTAGATAGTAGGTTTTGGCGTACTATACCACGCTGGCCAGACGGGTTGGTATAGGCTTTGTTACAAGTTTTCCTTCTCTTTGTAGTGCTGTTGTCCTGCATAGTTTGCTCTCTTAGTCGGCTCTTACGACACTCACGGGACGAATACGAACTTCGTATCTTTAAGCAGTCACCACATGGAAGGTTTTTTAAAAAAAACTTATAATACGGTTTTTTGTTATACATTTGCCTTTTTACCAAATTACAGAAAAAGAGTACATTTATATTTTTTTAGTGAAATCGCAATTTTAATGAAATCACAACATATGTATATTTATCAATTCCAAATACTTTTAAATCAGGTTTTTTCGCATATTATACTAATAGTACGAGTTCTTGTAAAAATGTTAGCAAATGTCTTTTGTATTCGACGATTTGAAATGAACTCATGAGTTATTTTAGTCTTTTATTTTGGCGTATAAATTATTCAAGTTATTTTAATAAATCTACAACATATCAAATACTAATTAAAATATATGTATTGTTGACCTTTAAGTCCTAATATATATATAATTAAATTCATAATATTATATGTTCAGAATACTGATGGCATTCATAAGATTAATAAGAATTATAATTGGATTATAATATAATATAATTTAAGAATTATGATATTATATGATATGATATTAAAACTATTTTTATAAAATTATTTTTTAAATCATTCTCAAAATTTCAATTTATTTAAAAAATAAAATTGTTTAAAATGTTTTACAGTGGGAGAGCCATGCTTAGGGACGAATGGGCCGGCTCGACCGGACTTTTTTTATGGTATAAGAGTAAAAATGAGCAAACGGGTCACCTGATGGAAAGCAACTACCGCGGCCCATGGACACCTGCAACTCAAAAGTCACAAGTGCGTTCCCGCCCTCGGAGTCCCTCCCTCTCAAGTTAGCGGGAGGGAGATTTGGCTCCGATAACCTCACTCACTCAGTGAAAGGCAACGAAAGAATTGCTTAACACCGGTTTTCTGTGAGGCCGTGGGATCACTCCGGTCGAACCAGCCAAGACCTCCTTTCTAAGGAGAGACCTATGTCTAGCAGTGAGCTTTTAAAGGCTGTTGATGATAAATATAATAATGGGTAGGTAGCGAATTACTTACAAATCAATCCCGAGTGCAACTTCTACTGTCTACCAATTGTTACTTTTAATAATTTTGACAATAAATGTCTAGCCTAGTATCTAGTTATTCGGGTATCAATTTTCATGTACTCAGATTAGATATAGGTATGTGTTTACATATTGAAAATACTGTATTATAAATAACGCATATGAATGCATAAAGTTGAAAATTTCTTGTTCTTGTACTTGTGCAATATATTAATAGGCACAGAAACAATGTTATGGCAATATGTTGCAAAATTATAGGTACTCTTAAGTTTCAACACACAATAAACCTCATGTAGAGGTAGTTTTATGTTAATCTCTGTTTGTAATCAGTATTTTAATTAATAGGTACATAGTTTATAAGTTTAATTATACTATGCTATTCTATGTAGTAAAACAGTTTACTTATAATTTTAATATGTATATTAAGCCTACCTACCTAAAGTAAGTGAATGGTTAATGTTTACAAAAATCTTTTGGACCTAAATAACAAAGGATTGTTACTAAGTTACTTATATGATATTTAAATGCATTGTTTCGGTTACTCTGCTGTGTTCAGCTCATGCGGTCACGAAAATTATCTTTATCTTTTTGTTTCTTAACTTATCTTTGAAATAATTAAAATCTTGGTTATATAGATTTAAAAAAAATGTACAAACAAAGATTATTAGATGGGATAGAAAGTAATACAATTGTACGTGAGAAACTATCTTATTTGCACAACAATTCTTTAAGTACATGTTACATTAACAAACAGTTTCACTGTTCACTACAGTCTTTTGACTATATTCTGTTAAAAAGACGATTGCTTATTGTCTTTCAGTAAGTTAAAAAACCATAGTCAGACATAACATCAGTTACGAAAAATGGCCCGTTTAAAAATACTCACTAATTCATTAGAATTGACGCAGCGCTGATGTACGAGTATTTTGGCTTTATCTCGTTAAGTTTCTTGTGTATATTCAACACGTAATGTAAGTTCAACGTTGTTCGTGAGACAAGATAAAGGTTAAAGAACGTTTCGGGGCAATTACGAGCTAAAACTTTAATGTTTAACTGTTCTCTTCAACCCGGAGGTTACTTCAATCCTAATTATTTTAATTTTTATGGAAGTTATCTTCAATGTCATACTTATTAACTTAAGACTAAAAATATAGATTTTATTAAATAAAAAAAAATCATTAATATATGTAGTAGTGTTTCAGACCTCAGATTTTTTCTGAATCAATTTCATATGAATAACAGTGTTTAGTGACTTTCGATTGGTAATAATGATCTTCAAAACTAGCAAGTTCTTTTTGATAAAAGTTATTGGGTACGTAAAGTGAATCGTTAAATTATTACGAATTTGTATGTTATAAAACTCATTGAACGTAACCTTTGATACATTTATGTAATCGTGCATTAGGCAGTTACTTTTTGTGCACCTCGCCTTGAAAGGAACAGTGACTGTTAATTACGCGCTTTCGCGATCCCGGATTTCGAGTTGCTCGGTATACCCATACAATGTTTACTTACTTTGTATTTAATTTTTAGATTTTAATTGGCATTTCAAATATGAATTTGAGTTTGTTTTTTACTTTTATGTCTGAACTTCTAAACCGATAATCATTGAATTATGGATATCTTTTTTGGAGATCCAGAAAAAGGTACAAGTTATCTTTTAGCAGGAAAATATTATATGTAACAGTAGAGATTTTGTTTTCGGTACTTAAACATTTGACGTTAATAATTAACATAAAACCAAAAATTAACCCGTAAACCAGGGACATACGAGTATATTTCTAAATAAACATACCTATATGTTCCCAAATACATACATATAATCCTGCCTCGGTGGTGCAGTGGGAGCGTATGCGACTGCTGTGCTGAGGTTTCGGGTTTGGGTCCCGGGTCGAACCAAATGTTTATATGAACTACAAATATTTGTATCGGCGTTTAGATGTTTTCTGTGTATAATATGTATGTATTTACAAAAAAGATGTATATAAGTATATACATATTTAGATACATTTTTACATATTTTTTGTAAATACAATTTACATTCTATCAGTCAATCTAGTTTTCATAGTACAAACTCTAC